GCACGCGTGATTAAAATTCAGGAAAATATCCCTAACTCTCCAAGACACAATAATTACGGCTTAAATGAACCTGTTGTATTCTGAGGTGACTTCTCTTGCGATGCGAACCCGCTTCCCAAACGAGCGTTCATGACGTTACAGCAGATGTCAATAAGCATTGTGACCTGCACACCTCACGCTGAGCTGAGCTGCGTTTTGCACAGCCTGGTGCTGCAGGGATTTCTTCACCTCAACATTCACTACCTGCTACATTTAGAGGGTTTCGATTAAGCCCAGCCCACACATCAAGTGCCTTTAAGGTGGTGCTCGGGAACCTCCTCCTTTCCATATTCCACCAAGTATTTTCCAGTGGAGACCTTTTTTGCAGCTCCATTTACTCGGCACTACAGCAGTGCCACAAGACCAGCCTTGTCGATGGTTGTTGGGATGATGGAGAAGGAAACAATTTAAATGGTCATTACAGCACTGAGTAAAATAAGCACCATTGCAAGAAAATAAGGCCACAGAGACCACATATAAGTCCTGGAAGAGCTGCCAGCAGCTGGTGCACACAAAGGGCTGCCTCATCCCTTGGGAAGCAATGTCACTTCTGCTTTTGTGTGCTCTGTCCCCTTGGGAAGGGCTCACTCACGTGCAGATGACACTAAATATTCCCCTCTGATGGAGACAGGCAACGGGACACAGCTTTGGAGGGGAGAAAGACGAGCATCTTCTCCAGCACCTCAGGCATCTTCACCTCCTGGTCTTGCAATAGCAAGAGACTGGTAGTTCTCACTCCTAGTCATGTAATTATCACCCCAAGCAGAGGCTGGAAGCAAAGACAATTTGAGTTCTCACATTTTGAGGGAGAAATGGGGCAACGTGCCAGCAAATGCAAGAGAGCTGGGCAAGTCTGTTGGCAAAAATCACCAGCAGCTTTTCCCCTTTGCCCCAAGAACATCTCTCTCATGATGAAAAATAAAAGCTAAGTCTACGGAGGTTGCTCTGAAGTTCAGCATTTAACATTTCCGAGGAGTTTAGTTTTCTTCTGGTAGCTCTCCCAGTGATTACCAGCATAAAGAGTGCCATGAATTCACACACTGAACCAGCTGTTAAGTGTCTTGGGAGGACCATGAAGCTGTCTGCTTTTGTAATTAAGGGTAATTGTAAAATGTCACCTATATATTTGCCTGCCACTGTATTTGTATTGTTTGCATCTGTATGTATGGAAATATAAGTGCCCACCACCCACAAAATCTCCCTTAGTTCAGAATGGCAGATAGGATGTTGGGAGAGCAGTGACTCTTCTCCAGAATCCATGGATTTCAAAACCATGCACCCATATCTACCTGCAGCGTGCAGGAACGGGGACTTCTTGGCAAAACGGAAGAGGAGACCGGGCAGCCTCCCCGGCCTCAGTCTGGCCACGGGCTCAGTGAGGAGCTGCGTAACTGGGATGGATAGAAACTGGGTTCAGAACCAGCTCGGTTACACGGGAAATGTAATTCAGCACCTTTGAACTAAAGCGCTAGAATGCCACACACGTTGGAAATCAAAAATTTTAAATCTCTGTCATTTGACAGAGAAACCTCATTTACCCTAATTATTTGTGGCTATACAGCATGTGTGACAAAACAAGGACAAATTAAAAACACTATCAATAGCCTCATTGCATACCAGGTGGTTAATTCCCTCTAAAAAACAAAGTATAAATACCTACATACACACTTCTGCACAGCCAGGAGGATGGCAATTGCAAGCCCAAAATTCAGGTTAATCCTGTGAAAAGTACAGAAGCTGAAAGCAAGTGGTACACCGCAGCAACGGCACCTCAGTTCTCAACTCTTCCTTAACGTTGATAGCTGAAGATAAAGGAAAACAACGTTAGCACTGCAATGTTCACACAGGTGCATGCGGGGCCCTTCTCGCACGGGCCGGCTCTCCTTGCCTTGCAAGGGGCAAGGTAAGGAGGAGCCGGCGTGCGAGATCAGCGTGCACACCCTTCACCGAGCTTACATACACCGAGCCAAAGACAGGTCATTTCTCAATGCTGATTCGCAAAGGAAACATCAAGAATAACCAAATCACCAGAAAAGGGTTCTGTATTTACTTTAAAAAAAAAATAAATAAAATAAAAAGGAAAAAAAAAAGAAAAAGAAAGAAACTTTTCCAATCCAGGAAAATAGCTCCTGCTCTACCTCCCTCCACCTTCAGCAGGAAAGGAAATACTTCGATTTTCCTCAAAATGACATCCAATATTACTCTAAAGCCTAGTGCAGGATGGCAATAATTAGATTTTAAAGAAAGCCTGACACCTATAACACCATATACTATCTAAATCTGGTCTACAAAGACTTAAATATCAAACCAGCTGTGGCTTATATAAGATTTTTTGCTTAGTTCACCTGATTGTGTCAAATATGCAGATGAGGAATGACTAGCTTATCCACAGGAACTTTGACTAAAAATAGATATCATGAGCGTTTGTCACAGGGACAGCTACTCCCAATGCTGCATCAAGCTTCCCGCATGGGAGAATTCCAAAGAAAAGCCATGGCAGCCCAGGGAAGGATGTCTGTTGAGAAGCAGGATGGTGCTCACCTCACTGGGTAACACAGTGAGAAGACCTGCATTAAAAAGGGAATGGTTAGGTACATGGAGACATGTATATACATAATAAACACATAAGCCAAGTACAACAAACCTGGACTCATTTGGATTTTGGCTCCTACATGGACTCCTCACCTGTTTCCTTTAGTAAGAAGAAAAATCTCCAGGCTCATTCCTGCAGCACAAACACATCTAGCGCCAACTGTCCCATGCTTTGCAGAAAACAAAGCCACACACCTTGCATGCAATGTAAAGACCAAGCCACGTGCTAAGATCAAGCAGATTTTGACAACATTTTGACACACAGCATTTGCTCTCTCACCGCGGACATTCTTAGTAATCATAAATGTCAATTATCAAACTTGGCTTTAGATGTGACCTTTGCATGAAGCTTTCTGTTGAAAATAAATGTGATTAAAAACAAACAAACAAAAAGGTCCCCAACAAACCTTTCATGGTTCTGCACAGGCTTGATGAGAACTGAAGGGTACATCAGCAAAAAATCCCCTCTCAATCCAATGCTAAGACTCAGTGAAAGACTTTCAGGAGAGTCTTCTTTATATATATATGAGCTGCAAGTTAGCTTTCAGTAGATCAATATAAACCAAAATTCAACAAGCAAGAACAACACGCCATCTCAACCTACCTTCTCATCACACTTTGATGGTGTGGTCTTTCAAATTTAAAGAAAGCTGAAAGTCTGTTCAGGAGATTAAATTCTGGGCCTGCTAAATGTCACATCAAATATACCTATTTTGGTAACAAATTTACAGATATCTGTAGCAGAAAGGTTGACTTCAATGAAGTGCCATGGAGGCACAAGGACAAAGGAATGACATCTAGATCAGGAGGACATCATGGTCCAAGCTGGTCCACATGAAGCTCCTCAAGCCGGACGGAGGAGGAATATTAAGGACAGATGGCACCAAGAACGGACTGAGGCCATTAGGAGATGATGGTGGGAAGATAATGAGCAGAAGTGGAGCCACACTGGACCCACAGCAGATAAGGAACCCTACACAAGCAGGTGGCCACAGGTGCCTTTACATTCACAAGAAACTGTGAGCGGTATCAACAGGCTTAAACTTAATCACCTTCCCCTTGAGTCCTGTGCCTTGTGTTGAGCTCTTCTACATCAGCCAAGCTTTGTAGCAATGTCACAAGAAATCCACATCGCGTTCGGATATTCTGATACAACATCACTGGGGTATGGAGGTGGCAAATATGCTGAAGGAAGACAAATGGCCTTGGCAGGACCGCTCATTGCTTAGAGATGGTAACTGAGTTAACTTCTGGATTCACTGAAGTGTTTTTACAATTCTTTGAGGAGGGTAATGATTCGTTCTGGCTTGGTTTTATAGGAGAAGCAGCCTAAAAGCTGTTGGATTGTAAAACAGAGACAATTCAGGTCTAAAAAGGAATCCAAGAGTCTGATTTTCAGTTCCCAGTTGTGAAACACAGTGTGAACTACGGGCATATAGGAGCATTAGAGTTTATCATTTTGAATGTGCAGTTGTAAAGGGCAACTCTTGTTCAAAGAGTCTTGCTGGGCCAAATTACAACATGTCCTTGCACAGGAAATTACTAAGGACATGCAAAGACAAACACTTCATGAGAAATACAAATTCACAAGCATCGACTTAGGGACTTTCATCCATTTGAAACTCTGCCTCTGTCCTTTAGAAAGTAAGTGGGGCAGAAGCGAGCAAACCTCCCCAGCATCTCAACACAACCTGCAGCACCAACAGGGTACAAAAATGTGTGTTTATAATGTTGAAATGTGGATTTATTTCGGGACTGGATGTACATAAAAACAAGCACACCAGTGCTGTGAGGGATCAGAGGCTCCTTCAAAACTGCTCTGAAGACAACACAAAACAACGAACGTGGGCGTAAGTATATCTCTATATTGAATCCCATAGCTCCTAAAACACTGCAAGGATGAAAAACACCAAGGAAATTTTCTTAGACTTGGTTTTAAAATGATCTTTTATTTTTTTGAGTCAGTGATATATTTAAAAACAACCTACTGTAAGAGTATAAAGATTGTAGATAGTAAAAAACAAGTGTGACGACAGTAAAAAATGCTAGAGTACAAAGTTAGTTTCCTTCCTCCCTCCCAACACCTCACCCTGTCATTGTCCAATATTTTCAGCGCCTAATACCCAAAACAAAATTAGCACTTTTTTTTTTACATGTTTAGCAATTAGGAAATTAAAAATACGTAAGGCATTATTTGCAGGTATATTAAACCATTATTACAAGAGAAGCAGGCACCATAAACATTAAACATTCTAAAAACCATCATATATACAAACTCTGTACAGAATGATGGCACAAGGACAAAGTGATTCCATTCAGTTCATCCTAATCCATAAGAAATATTACACATAAAAAAAAAAAGAAAAAAAAAAAAGAAAAAGCTTTTATATTCAGTCTTCTATTCAACCGTTGGGGTTGGAAGGAGCAGGGATGCTCTCCCGGGGCACCTTGTGGTTTTTCCTATACGCTCGTGCCTGTCAGTGGCTCAACATTTGTCCCGGGTTAGAAGCTGGCCAGCACCAAGCACAACAGCCGCTTGCACGAGCAGGTCAGTGCCTGAGCGAGTAACTAACTCGAAGCAGCAGCCCGTCGGCAGCAGCTTATTTATAAGGCAGAATTAGGGAAAAAAATCAGTAAGAAAAGGGCATTTCACAAATAAGCTGTGCCTGGTTGGCAGCTCCCAGTGCTCATGCATGTGGACTGGGATGTCGAATGTGGCGCACGGCGAAGCCGGCACCACCAGTGCTGCCGTCGCAGGGCTCCTGGGGTTATTTGGCACGAAATGAAGCAGCCCCCGGGGCTCTTCGGGGGCAAAGGGAGGACAGGCTCTGCCGTCCTCACTGCACGATGCCCGAGTCGACGGACGTCTGCTTCCGCGTGGTCTTGGGCGGCGGCGGCGGCGGTGTCTTGCTGGGAAGCGGAGGGGGAAGGTGCTGGAAAATGGGAACGGCACGGAACGTGTTACCATGTGGAGCTTCCCAAGCCCCGGCCCGGCCACGCGCCACGGGGAGACGCGGCCGACCGCCGCGCTGGGAAGCGGCCCCGGCCTCGCCGCCCTCCGCACCATTACCTTAAAATATGAGGCTTTTCCTGACAGTGAAAAATCTCTCACGAGCTCGTGATTAATTAGCTCGGTTATTTCAGGAAAAATCTTTTGAGAGCGCCGGGAAAGTTTATAATTCCACACTTTATATCATGATAGAATATTGATTTCTTGGTCTCTATTGATCGCCCTCAGCCCCTGAGTGCTACAGAGCTTAAAAGCTCGGTTGAAGTAACAGCTTCATTACTTCACCATTATTTTCAGATTTCACACTTTTGGGATACAAATCATTCTAAAAAATAAAGCGAAACTGTTTAAATAGACAAGTATCTTCACAATTCACCACTGCACAGGCAGGAACTTCAAAAAGTTCCAATCTGAAGCCCAGATTGTTTCGAGATGGAGGTTTTACATCACTTCACTCTTTATACAACAGAACAAGAGTTCTTTCAGATTCAACGTCTAAATAGACAATATAAAAAAAAGAAAAATATTATGGAGATTACATTTTTTTCTGCCTGTAAAGCTCAGTCATAACTATATAAAGTGAAATTTGTATCCAGCCTTTCCCATCCTATGCCTGGGCTGTCACTGGGGCTCCTCCCAGGCAAAGGGAAGGAGCGCGAAGCCCAGATCACAGCGTGGCTCTGCCCCTGTCCCCGGCCCTGCTAGGGACCCATCCGCAGGTGCCAGGGTGCCCTGGCTGGGCCTGCCCCACACGGGCTGCATTTGCAATGGTCACGCTGCTCTTGCAGTCCTGCTGCAGCACTGCTGCTGCTGGAAGGGAGACGGGGCTCGGAGTAAAACAGCGCCCGTTTGCAATAGCAAATGTGGAAACTATATAAAACTTATTTATGATTTACAATGCAACACAGTGCACAATGAGGTACGAGTCAAAAAATCATGTCAATGTCCTCCGATGAAAACCAGATGAAATGACTCTTCTTTTACTAAACACAAAATTGAACCTCCAAAAAATGCCACTGTCTTCCTACATATGGCCAGGAGCATGAAACACTGGCTCTGCTTGGGCAAATATTTGCTTAACCTGATGCTTTAAGGCAGCTCCTGAATCCCCGCAAGGCCCTGGGTGGTACTTGGCTTCACACGTTTCATGGGAGCTGCAGGCTTCCTAGTCTTTGGAAAACCGGCCCGTCACCATCACGTATCCAAGCACGGGTCTATGGACAAGACCTCTGGAAAAGCTGGTTATCTTCATTTACAAGATGCTAACTATTGAATCAGTCGGTTAATGATGATGGTCTGCAAAGCATCAGCAAACATCACACACCAACTCCTCACACAGAAGACCTTCATTTCCCAACTCAAATAAACCAGATACCCCCTTAAAACCTTACAGAGCATGCACTCTCCCTCTGTGTTCTCCTCTGGATATCTTTAACTTCACACTCATCATCAGACAAAGCCAAGTTTGCTGATAGCATCATTTGTGAAAAGCTATTTGGAATTTAACTAACATTAGCTTGGCAATAATTCTCAATTCAATTAGATCAAGGGCATTTCTCAAACAAATGAGCCCTCCATATTGATCACAGAACAATCAAATTACCCCTGAAAACCTGCTACTAAAGAGCATATATAATGCAAATAAAATGAGAATAAGCTAAATATATATGCTATAAATAACAAGCACAAAACCTGCGAGAGCTGAGATTCTGCAAGCAAATTAGGCAGAAAGAAATAACAGAGATAGGTAGATAATTATTATAATTGAATTTACAATTTCCATTAGAAAGTAGGATAAATTTAGTACATGTTCATTTATATAATAAGCTACCATGGCGTAGGTTAAGTAGGCCACGTAATGCAAGGGCCAGGGCCAGAGCACCCAGAGATGAGCCAAGGGGGCCGGTGTGGGACCAGCATCGCCCCTGTGCACGCACCAAAGCCCAGCTCTCTGCCTTCAAGATCCAGCCTGGGAAATTACACAGGCCTACAAACTTTATTGCACCACTCTTCCTCTTAGAAACTTTGAAAACAGGAAACGAAACTTTATTTCATTTATTTATTTAATTTGCTTGTGCGTTTATTTCAGAGCTGTTTTGCAGAGCTCACACTTCAGTTTTCCGGGGCTAGCTGGGAACCCCGCACGCCTTTGAGCCTGTTTTTGCTTGCTGAGCTCCCGATAGCGGCTGCTGCTTCAGTCAAACCTATTTTTGGGCAGACTCCCTGACTCACGTGTACCTCAGGGGAAGCAGAAACCTTATGTAAAAGGCACATCTGCAACACAGAAGCAATCTGTGCCTTCTGTTCCCAACATTACATCGCTCCCGTTTGTTTTTTATGCTATGCCCTGACATGGAAAAGAATCAAGTCTAAAAACATTTGTCTCCTTTTGCTTATAGAAGCGGACCAGAGCACGCCAAGTATGGCCAGGTTGCAGGAAAAACAAAGAGGAGGAAAATTTTACTCTGTGAAGGAGCAAAATATGTGAAGATTTTCTTGGTCAGAAAATATCGTTAAAAAAATTTAAAAAGGCTGTGAACAAAATTAGAGTTTCACAGGTGGGACCTTGTACCATTCTGGTAAAACAGACCCCTTCCTCTACATCTACTTTTATCGAAATCAAGTGGTCAAGGATATGGCTACCTATAGAGATCGCATTGCAGGCACTTTTGGTTTAGGATTAACAGAGATAATTAAGTCTCAAGCAGTTCAAATGAAAAGAAATCGGGATGCCACCACCACAGCATCCTGCAAATGCTTCCCAATATCAGGTTCTAAATTGCAGGTTCGTGCTCAGACCATTGATTTGGTCAAGGAACTGCGTCCCCTGACAAGATCCAACCTGCAAATTCCTGTTATCCACACAGAAAAATAACACCTAAGGGGAGGTCTAGGAGCTGCAGCACTCGCATGCTGAGCGGGCGATAACGCGCCGGGATGTCACAGCATCAGTGCGACTCCCCTAATCTAAATTGAATTACAGACGTTTTAAGCTAATTGACTGCTCGACCCTAAGCGTGAGGTTAGGTGGAAAATCCTGGCCCCAGCCATGCTGAGGGATTATTTAAACTCTGCCTTTGCAGTGCGCTGCTGTTTGACCTGGCTTTGCATCATCCCCACGAGGTGCCCTTGGCGGGGACGGTTTTGGGGACAGAAGGGGGTTCTGAGCATGCAGCTCCTTCTGCCAGGTGGTGCTGAGCCTACCCCTCCTCATTCATCATAACAGAGGAAAAAGAGGTTTTCTGTTTGTATCAGAGCATGCAAAACCATGCTGGGGGGTAATGAAATATCTTCTGCATACACGTTGTACTTCGGTGGGAAGCCTGGGCTTCAATCCCTTTTTTTTTTAATGGGTTATAGACAGAACAGGATAAGTCCGAGCATCAATGTCAAGAGAAGAAAACAATTGATAACCCTGAAATAATTGCTCCCTAATTACTACCTCCCTTAGTAATCTGAGCTGGGTGCCACAGCGGGCTTTGGGACCCACTGTGGGGCCTTTCAGCTCTTTTTTTTGGCTCGCTGCAGTTAATGCAAGAGATGGGGAGTTGTCAGCGCTGCCTTATTGGAACTACAAAGTATGTTAACAATCCTCTGGATTTTAACTTGTGTGCAAACATTTCAATATATGCAATTAAGCCTGGATGTTGCTAACGCAACCCTGGTCTGTTTTGGCCCTTGCATTACCTCCTGCTCCAGCCTCTGCCTACGCTTTGTTCACCAGGGTCCACATCTGTGGAGGGAGGGATGGAGATCTCCTCCTCCAAGCCATTATCTGCTGCTTAGCAAGTGTTATAGCGGATATTATAAATGTAAGTGCTCCTTTGTCTATTTTCTTTGAGTTTCCCTTTTCCACAGGAATACTAAGTAGGCGGTTGATTTTTATGCAAGGCAATGTATGAACCCATAAAGAATCAGAAGTGCCTAAAGGAATCCCTTGATATAATAATCATCCTTGCAGGAGTCATAGGCCTCTTTTTTATGTTCCCATATATTATTAAGAACAGTTTTAGTCGAACAAGTCATACAGTGCAAGAAAATATATATAAGGGTATCATGGTTAACAACGAATAAGAGGACAATCAGTAACTTATAATTAGATGATTACCGAGATAAAAGACTTCAGTACACTAAATTAATGCCAGAGTCCAAATAATCCAGTCTCAGGCACTATACAACATTATTGCCTGCAGTTTGATTCAAAGCACTGAATATTCCTTGATGCATTTATCGAGGCAGCCTTTTTTGTTCTCTATGCTTTTTTTTAAAATACTTACTGAAAGACAAACCATACGAAACTGGATGATGACTTTTAATGCTCTGAGATCTTCCCAATTTAAAAGCTATGAAGATAATCTTATCTGTAATATTTTTCACTGATTTTTTCTTTATTGATACAAATCACACACAATTTAAAAGTACCATGACTTTACTGGGCAGATGATTATAAACTGTAGTTATTTCACCAATGCAAAAAGGCATGAAGAGCTGTCCATGGGGATTTATTTGTAGCAATAATAAGAATGTGCCCATCTGATTATGTCCAGCACCACTCATTTACCTTTATGTCCTTTTAAAACTTACTTCCTATAAGCTTAATAAAATGAGTGTGCAGAGCGAGTGGCATCAGAATATTCTAAAATATTCTAAGACTAATATCTGGGGCTTTGTGAAGCATCTGGTTCAGAGTCACTTTCCAGCCTTCTTAGCTATATTCCCTATGCTTCAAAAGTTTATAAAAATAGAGAAACCCAGGCAAATTTTATAGACTGAACTACGCAGGCGTAACTTGAATTTGACCCCACGTCTGAGAGCTACGGTCAAACCCTGAGCTCCTTTGGGGTTGGATGGTAAAATTCTCTACACTGCATTCTCTATTATTGCTCTGAATAAACCCCCATGAACAGCTTTTCATGCCTTTGTCACAGTTCCCAAATAAATAAATAAATGGAACACTGTGAAAGTGCAGATGTTATTACTGCTGTTGCCATCTCCCATCACTGAATAAACCCCCGTGCTGTAGATGGGCACAGGAGCTGCACAAGGTCACGCTTAAAGCAGCAACAAGGCTCAGGAGAGGACCTTGGTCACCCTTGCGCTTGCTGTCACAGCCTGACAGTGCCTGCAAGCTGCACAGGGAATATCCATCGCAAAGCTCCTTCCAGCAGCCTGGCAGGGCAGGGAAAAGCAACCCTGCAACATCGTCTCTATGCCTTACCACACGTTTTACCATCTCCTTGTTTGACATTTCTTATGTGAGAACCGAACTGCAGTGTGTAATCCTGAGCTAATACCATAACCTAAAATTAACAGTATATCATTCAAATTAATTTGCTATCCTGGAGCTTGTGAAAGAGGTGAGGAGTTTAATGAATTTCTAAGCTGATTTCAATTTCTCAAGTTTCTTCATGACAATTGATTCCTCAGACAAAACCCCTGCAGTCCTCCTGCAAGGTCTGCAGTTGCCTACTCAGGGAGCTGCACTCGGGCTAAGCGGATGTTCTGCCTTCCCCACCAGCAGGACGAGCTCTGCCCAGGGGTTGCTAAAGTATAAATGCAAACGTAATGGGAGAAAGTGGTGGCCAGCGTGGGGACTCACCCTCGGATGCGCGGGGGGAGACGTCGTGGGGCTGACCAGGTCTTGGCTCTCCAGGAGGTTCCCGTAATCTGCCGTGCTCCCCTTGAGGGGCAGCGGAGGGGGGACGTCCGTCACGTCCGAGCTGGACATACCGTTCAGCTCCAAACCTGCAAAACAGCAACCTCCACTGAGCTCCTGGAATGACCCAGCCAAATCCAAAGATCCAGACTATGCCCAGTCTCCTGGCCCTGCAGACAGGCAGCCCATGAAATGTCTCTGTGCTCTCTCTGCCTCTACAACCATCTGCACTGCAGCTAGAAAAGGCTTTTTGAGAAAAGCAGAGCAAACGAACAACCCTCGCAGGGCCTGGAAAGCAGCTATGCCGTGCCAAGATGGGCCGAGTTTTAGGATACATCCTAAAATACGTGCAAGATCTCTCACCCATTAACAGAAAAGGAAGATCTTGATTCCTCTCTGAAATATTCCTAGCTCATATAAAGCAGATACAATTTTCACAGCTGCAAGGTCTGCATTTACACCTGTTAATAAACAGCAAAAGTTTTGAAGAGTGCGCCCAGAGAGTATAATGAAGCCAATCCTTATTTATCTTTTTATAGTAAACTAGCAGAAAGCATTTGGTAACTAAACCACACAAATTAAAGCCTGTCATTAACCATACTTCTCTCTCGATAATTTCTGAACTCCAGGTAACTCTAATAAATGAGCCAAGGTGTTCAAGTGAATAAAATCACGGAAGAGGAGGTAGCAACATTTTGTTTTATTACTACTGGCTGGGTAGAAAGTTCCTTCTCAGAGAAGATAAATCCAAACAGGGATGTGCGACAGAGGGGAATAGCCTGAGGGACAATAAAGCTGCACTTACGAAGGCCCAAGTGCTAGAGGGGTTTTTGTGCTGCAATCTACCCACGGCGCGTTGCCAGGTAATTCAGCCTTTCCAGCACATGCAAAACCCGCTATGAGCTCTGCCAGATAAGAAACTTAATTTATTTTGGTCAAATTAGGGAAACTGTTTTCATTCAGAGAACGGAAAAAAATGTTATTTTTATTTTACGGGGGTGATTTGTGAAACAAGTGGAGGACTTGTTTATGCAGATACTTTTATTGCAAGGATGCTATCAATGTCTTGCACAATGGGCCCTTTTATTGTTCTCTAAAATGGGCTCTGACTAACGCAATTTAACTGTAAGGCAGAGTATTGATTTGTCACTGAAAACTGTAATTTCACCCTCCTTCCTTTCACTCGAACTTTCAGTACATCAGGAACAAGAATCTTTTCCATCCTCAGCTTTCAAACTTTCTTCTCCTGCACGAGGCGGAAAGGTGTTATTTGTCCTTCAGGACCTGAACGTTTTTATGGGCCCTTTCTTTAATACTTCTTATTTTTTTCCAGCAATCCTTGGATCTCTCATCACCTCTCCCATCCCTCCTGCTGGTTGTCCTTGCTTTTTCATACCGACAGTTCCTCCAGTCTCCAAATGCTGCAGTATACATCATGTTTCCCAACAGATATCTCCATCAAAACCTACTGCTACTAAGCCTATATTATTAGAACATATAATTTGAACAGAGTGCTACCCAATTATTCACACTGAAACCCAAGTATTCACACTGAAAGGGAACGACCTTGTTAATTTGGTATCAATTTCCCAGACATGCTGCATGTCTAAATAGAACAGGCATTTGAGGGCATAAGCCTCAAGGAAAAAATGCTTCTTGGCATAAAAAGGCTGCATGTGTCACTATGTCTGTTTGCTTTATTATATATATGCAATTTAGGAGAACACTGGGAGATCTCTGAAAAACTGTATTTTCTAAGGGAAAAAGTTATTTTTTGAGAATGCAAAGACTTGGTTTATTTAAGAGCTAAATCTTAATGTTGAACGTGCAAATCTGAGGCTGACATTTTGAAGATACATATAAGAAAAATAATATAATAATATAATATAGTAATATAATATAATAAGATAATAAACATAAGAAAAAAATAAAAGAAAAAATCCTATTCAAAGAATATTCTTTCCAGGAATACATGCAGTTCATTTTTCCCCATATTTTCTGTTTCTAATATACTGGTAATTTTTGGATATCAAAACTGCAAAGAAAGTTCACACTTATCAAAATGATTGCTCTGGGTGTCTGCCCATGCCAAGGAGCTGCTGCATTGATTTGGTCTTGGTTCTCCTCTTCCACATTGCCTTTGTAGTCACTAATGTGAAACCGTTACGGCAAAGACCCAGTCTTTAGAGACCAGTTCTCTTGCTACAGGGTTGTGGAAAAAACACATCCCCGCTCACAGCACAAGCATTTGCTATTTGTTCCAAAACGCTGAATATTTAAAGAAAATGAGTAAATATATTAAAAAAAAAATTAGAAAAGTGAGCTTGATCAAACAAGATTTGTTTTCTTAAAACTGACCATTTATGCTGTTTCCTTGCTAACATGTAACTCTGGTCTCTGGTACAAGAAGCTGGGTGCATGTAACAGAAAGATCAATTTTGTGAGTGTGTGCGTGCTGAGTGCCAGGAACCGGGAACTCTGAAAGGCAGTTTTTGGAAAATAGCACTGTAAAGAAACAAGTGTTGTACTACACTTAGTTTTGTGACAGGTTTCCAAGAGGCTGAACCAAACGTACAGTGTTTTACAGAAAAGTTGAGTGACAGATGTCACAGTGTCAAATGAAAATAGTCACAAAAGACAGACATTTTATTCTTTGTCTTGCATTCACTACAGAGCAAATAAAAGCTCTTTTAAGGTATAATTATATTAGAGGATTTTTTTGATCTTCATGAACCAAAATGCTCTACAGGTCCAAGTACAACACCAATTTCTGACACCTATTTAAGTAATAATTAATGATTATTTGAAGAGGAAAAGAATCTTTATCCACACAGCAATTTTGCTTGCTTTTGTAACATACTGAAATATTTTTTTCTTAGTTAAGAAATGCAAGAAGTGTAACACGGAGAGGAAAATCCTTGTGTCTGCAAGTCATATCTGATGGTTGATGGTACAAAGACTAAACGAAAGCACTAAAACCCAAGATATTGAGAATTTCTGGACAGAAATATTAAGGAAAAAAAGAGATCTTAATACTAACACATTGCCTGAAATAATTATCCAGCTCATAAAACTGTAATCTGCTTGCAGAAATAAGGCTGAATGAGAGAGCACTATAAAAAGATTAATGTACGAGGAACTTGTAGCAAGATGTAGGAAGTTATTGTCATTAGCAATGTAATGCTGAGGAACCGTATCTCTCTCCTGGAGCATGGATTGGACACAATCCTGGGCAAAGTGCTCCAGATGTCCCTGCTTGAGCAGACTGTTGGACCTCCAGAGGTCCCATCCAACCCCAACCACTCTGGGATTCTGTGAGTTTGTGGATTTAATCACAATACAGCCAACCCGGACTTACTGGCCTGCAGGCTGAAGGACAGCTTTGTCCGTGGCGTTATTGGTGGCGGTGTGCCCTGACAGCTGGGTGTGGAAGGAGACACGGAAAAACGCCTTTCGCTCGACATCACGTTGAGGACTTGGCTCTTTGGTCTCTGTGGTCTCAGCGGGCTGATCTGCACAGGGATAAAACCAACAAGCAATTGTAATCCTCTCCCTACTGCAGGGCCCCGAGCACAAGCAGATACGGGCTGCAGGACAGCAGCTCCTCGAGGTCATGCAGAACAGGAATCTAGCACAATGTGCAACTGCTCCATTTCCCCACCACCTCCCAAAGCCTAACGCAGCAATGATCACCTTCAATACTTGTGATTTAACGTGGCATTTCACAGCTCCAAATGTTTTTCCCTTCTTCTCAGGAATAACAATGAGGCTTAATGCAGGCAACCTTGCCTTAGCCTGGCATATTTTTCTGAAGCAATGAGGCAATTCCCCAAACATTGGCTTAAAGTGTAAGAGAGTAAGTAATTCTATAGCCTCGTATAAGATTGCCTGGTTTGTCAAGGTTTCTTTACCAGGAGATCACAGAAACTGGAGCAAAGCCTGACGCTGAGATTGCGGGCAGGAAAGCCAAGGTACCCTAATAGGACAAAATGGAAACTGGCAGCAGCTACTCATGTTTTTTGAACAGTTTGGTCACTTTATAGTTTTTTTTTTTGAAAAGTATTTTGAGGAGGAGGAATTTACAACAAATTGCTACCTCATCTTTTCAGAAAACAAACCTAAGAGATATTTTCCCTCTTTGGGCTGTATCTCTGAGGCCCATCAAACAGAAATGATGGCTTAGGATGTAACTTTCTGTGAAAGATAATAAAGAATTCAGGTAAAACTTTCAGTTCATTTGATATTAAAGTTCAAGTCTCAAGAGAACCCAAAGGTCTCTTCTTGCAAAATCTTTTAGAAGAGGGTTTTAATGAAATGGGTGGTAAGCGCTGTATTCTCTTTCTCAGAAGCATATAGTTACAAAAATGCAGCAAAGAAAAACGCACTAATTGGTAGGAAACCTGGAACTGCAGAATCAAGAGAAAAAACGACAATGATAATGGAACTTGAGATGAAATTCACAAGTTCATCTGTTTTACGGCTGTTGATTTCAAGGAAACGTGACATTTTACCTCATCCTGATAACCTGGTCCTCTTCTCTCAGGTTCCCATAAATTAGGGTTTTGCTAGAGCGTATGAGCTGTAGCTACTCAGGCCTTAGGAGGCTGCTAATCCAGAGAGAACCCACTGCTAATGTTTTTTATTCTAATGAAAGCAGGGTCAATAGTGAGTGGTGTTAGATGTCATTAAATCAATAAAATACACAGCCTGTTATTCGCGGTGCTAACATGAGCTTTTGAGTTGTCTGTTACCTACCTGGTCTCTGTATGAGATTTGTTATCAACTCACAGAGTGAAAGAATCAACAATGGGAATTTACATTAAAGAAGTTTATTTGATACTTAAAAGAAGATGCATGTTGCTAGAAAACTATAAAGACTTTACTGATGATGTTTGTATATCAAAGAGTTTAATTTATCCTTTGATAAGATCAGTACAAGATCTCTGTAATTAGGGCTTATGCTCTGAAGAGTTGGAAGATTCGTATGAATACAGTGATTTTTTGGGGGGGAAAATGGGTATTTAAGGTATAAATCTAGATTTTCAGACACTATACAGTGTCTGAATCTTAACCGCTGCCCAACCTGCATCTCTCATTTGGTGTCACCTGCAGATTCGGAGTGAGCCCCGACGCCGGGGCACACATCACATGGGGCAGTCCAGGGCAGGTTTGTGTGGATGTTCCTGGTGCATCCCTGGCAGCCTCCCACTCCAGCGCAAACCGCCTCTCGGGCTGGTAGGAGCTCATCCTAAAAGACCACTGCTGCTAAAATCGTTTCAGAAGCTCTCTGCATGTTCATTTTCATCTCCAATTCTAATCAAATCTTTACTCCAAATTTTTGGAAAAAAGAAATCCTTAATATGTTTGATTCCTTTTCTATTTTTTTTTTTTTTTAAGGCTAGCAAAACTTTGTCTTTCAAGCTCTTAGGACAAGAGAAATCCAGGTGCCTTAAGTTTCTGTTCATCAAGCACAGCAGTAATATTGCTCTGGGTAACAGTGCTTTTGGGCAGCTTAAACTTAAAAAGGAAACTTGGACACAAAGCAGCTTACAAAAGCAGAATGATGGAAAAGTTGAATTTTCACCCCGAGATGATGATAGGGCACATACCTGTTCAGCATGCAGCCATTCTGAAACAAATCACATTTTATCTTTACGCGACCCTTGAATACGGGTGCAGGCAAGACTGGCATTTCCCCCAGTTGTGACTCTTCCCTGATCTCCAAGACCTTTGGAAGATGATGATAGTGACGTTGCAAGGACATCAGTCAGCTCCCCCAGCATCCCTGGAGTCATCCTGGCCAGTGCAATGGACCCTTGCAAGCCTATCTGCTTTAGCTGCTCCAAAAATCAAATTTCCTTTATTTCTGTCCTACAGATTTCTCTTATTTCTCTCTCTGCTATTAGGTTTGGGAATCCAGGAGGCGTAAGTGCAACCTTAGCATTTTAGAGGTTAGGCTTAGAGGTCAGTCAAAATATGATTGATGAAATGTACCTCCAGAGCTCACTGCACAGTGCCAAAAAGATGAGACACAGAAATTTATGCAAAATTTATTTTCTCTCTGAAAATGTTCTCGCACTGCTCATCTGACTTGGCTAGGCAGGGGGAATCTCCATTTTAGCACACCAGCACTGATCCCAAATTTACTGATATCGATGGGAAACACCGTCATTGGCTGCAAAAGGGTTTGGGTGAATCTCCCAGAACGCATAATGAATTTTATAGGCATTTTTGCTAAGCTAATACCAAGAACTGGAGCTAGCTCTACGAGCGATCACTCAGAGGGGAGTAGCTCCAGCAGTCCAGGGCAAATGCTATGGCCACCAATGAAAGACTGCTGAATTCAAATCTGCTGTGAGAGAACACGTGCAAATCTTTCCAAGACCATTCCCATTATTTCTTGAGGGTAAGTTTTTAATGCACTGTCACTAAAACAAGAGCCCACTCATGAGCTCCACAGTTATAATTAGAAGTTCAAATAGTGCTGCTCCAGCTTAGAATGGACTCGCTTTCAATTCTAGCAGTAAAACTTCTGAAGTTACCTAAGCCTTTAGGAGAGTTTCAGAGATTTAGATATATGCCAGGAAGAGAAGGCTTAAGAGAGATATACTCTATAGTTAATATCCTTACATGCAGCCACCAGAGCAACTGCTCACAATTTTCTGCTCAAAACAGCCTTTCAAGAACACGTAATTTCCATGCATGAAATGACCTAATAACATTTCTACCAAAGAGTGTCTTGCAGTAGTCAGCTGAAATATGAGCAAACCCATCACAATCTACTGGAAACCGTAACTTCAAGAAACTGCTAAAATGGCAGCAATCATTTTGCTTCAGATATATTATTTGTTCCTTCTACTGAACAGGCATATGTAGCTTTTGGTAGGTTTTCAAATAATAGACCTTGTTTTTTTGATATCATAACTATTGATTATCAAATATATTATCATAATGTGTTTAGGCAGTGTTGTTTTTACCTTAAGAAGAACTTAACTGTAAAATTCAACATTTTTATTTAAAAATAGAAAGAACATTGCTCACAATTACATAAATAATGCTTGCTATCAAAGTTACCGTTTCTGAAAGGATCACTGCTTCGGATTGCTGCAGAGAAATATCCGTAGATTTAAATTCTTTATCAAATATTTCTTGATGCTTGCTGTTCCTTTTCTCCTTCTTCTTCTCTTTCTTATCTTTATCTAGGTCATCCTTGTCCAATTTATCTTGAGACCTAGAATGCATCTTTTTTGGCAGGAGGGGCTCAAGCACAAACCTAAAAAAAAAAAAGTGGCTTAGATCACTAATATATTATTTTCAGTACACTTAAGTTTAATTTTCACAGTCCTAACACGAGCCTAAATGGTTCATTTGAGTTCAAAGATGTTTTGTTAATGCAGGAAAACTCACGAGAAAGCAAAGCGGGGGCAGAAGTTCAGAAAAACTGTAATTGTCACAATCAAATTTACTGCTGAGCTGCTGAAGGATCAGGACTGCCTATTTCCCTGCCCTGCAGTAAATCCCCTGGTTTACAGCTGTACAAACTCTAGAGTTTCACCGTATGGGTTTCTATAAAAATGAATTTATACCTCAGTGCTCCTCCTCTGCCAACTGTGGCAGCAGGGCCAGCACACGGCACTGCCCAAGGGAGGGCAGCCGAATGCACGAGGTCTTCAAGAAAAGTTTCCTCCCCTTGCCATGCACATCAGAGCAGTTTTAGATATTTCTTAAAAAATGGCCTCAAATTCCTCCTGGAAACCTTTCTTTTTGGTGGAGAAAGGGGATACATGTATTCTTAGAGCAGGAAGTTGAGGAATTACTTCGAAGCAGTGCTGCAAGTTGGGCATTGGACACGTGCAACGTGAGAGGTTTTGTAATGGCTACAACTTGGCCAAATTACAGCACGTTTCCAGGGAAGAAACTCATGGATCAGGTGAGTTTTCAGTTTAAGTGTTTTATTGGGAATAACTAAGGGTTACCTTCAAAGAGTGGATGAGCTTTCCCATCTGGAACACTCCTTACTTGAAGCAACTCCAAACAGGGACATGTAAAACAGGGTGGGAACATCCACAACACTCATGGAGTGCTACCATAACCTGCAGGTCTTACACTCCATTACTACTTTTTAAAATTCTGGCTATGAATTAAAAAAACCTTAGGGGTGTAATGAACCGCTAAAGGAAAGCTTTCTGTTTTAAGAGTACCCATTTTATTTTAAATAAAGCACTACTCTAAATAACACAGGAACTTTTCTTAGCTATTTTTTACTCCATAATTTAAACAAACCTCTCCTCTGCCTCACTTTCTTTAATAGCTAGCTTAAAAAAGAAGTAGAGAGAGAAAGCAGAAAATATTCTTAGCCTGGCCTAGAATACTTTTAAAATTGGCTTTGCATTATAAAATATTAAAAAACATAACCTAGCTAAAATTATGCTAAAATTAATGCTAATTTTAAGAGGATGTCACAAATTATCTCATGACAAACCAGAGAACTTCCAACAAGGAGGAACTCCCGACTTCGGGCATGTTAGCCACCCCAGGGCTGCCCTGGCTGCGTGCCGAAGGGACAGGGACAGGGCCACTGCCTTGCCTGCTGGTTACAATTTCCAGGAGCAATCACCACCTTTTCCACCACCATTAATTGCTTCTCTTCAAAGTATCACCATTATTACACTATTAATTACTTGTATGCGATGTATTAGTGATAAACACAGGCTAGGAGCTGTCAGCCATGCCCACACGTGAAGTAGGCGCAGGGTTTGAGGTGGTGGGAAATGGGCTGTCACATGGGACTTCCCGGGATTTCCTCTCTCCCCGCTGAGGCTTCATGTTCCTGTGGATCCTTCTGAAAGGCCCATTTTCAGTAGTGAATAAAAGAAAGGTCTTTTTTTTTTTTTTTTTTAAGATCACAGTATTAATGATAAGAGGATTTGGGAGTTGTAAAACACTTACTGCATCAGTATCTGCTTTGATTTTTTACTATTTAAAAGCTATAAAGCTGGGAGACAGCATAAAACATTAAGTAGGGTGATCTGAGCAAAATGTTCCATCAGACCCATTTGCATTTGTTTTTCTCAGCTCCATCTCTAACCTCAGAAGTAACATAAGGAGAGTGGGGAGCTGGAAGGAGGGGATGGCCAAGTGACCATAAAACCAGTGAACTACAAGTACACGGGTTAACTTCCTCTAGCTTAATAGTTACAGAGCACCCATATAACTCTTACTGTCTTTCTCCAGCTTTTAGAGGTCTTCCACTAGGTTATTTAATCTGATGATTTTCCTGCTCCTGCTCCACTGCTCAAGCGAACAAGCATATTCTCAGGTTCACTCTGCAATGAAATTTGTTCATTATGATGTCCTCATATTTATTATAACTATATTGCCCCAGGCTCTGAGCAGGAGCTGAGCTGCAGAGTGATCTCTGGGAGTTTCATTTTCATCTTCGTTCATAGTCATATTGAGTTGACTCATGAGATCCTCCTAAACTGCTGAATGGCACAGACTATAACACAGCTGGGATGGAGATGCAAAAATTAACAAAATAACACTCAGCAAAGAAAGAAAAATGCATACAATTACTTTGAAAGTAAAAGCGAAGGAGGCAGAGGCAGCAAGAGACAAATGAAAGATGAGACATGGGAGAGGAACACAAATAATCTTCTTCTGAGATACACGAAAGTTGACCTAGGACAGCAAATAGCCCCAAGTTCAAGCAAGATAACATTAGGCATGAATTAGTCAAAAGGCCTTATCATCCCTGATAAAACTGTTGCTGTCCTGTGTTTTTTTACAAAGATGATTTACTGTGTGTATGCTGTGGAGGGTAACATAATGAGATCTGAATAGCTCTCTGTTTGTACTTCATTCCCAATGGGCATATAAATTGTTTGTAATCAAGGTAAGTATCATGTTGGTCCTTAGGTGCTGTACTTAATTTTATTCAATGCTTTTGCTCTCTAGTCAGTAAATAAGAACCCGTGAAGGAGCACAAGGGATATGAACATTTCCAGCACATCTCCCCAAGTTAAGCAGTCCTTCAGGAGACTGTTAAAGCACTGCCACATGGCTAAATATTGTGTTTCTGCACTGTGGGAATGGTGGGGTGGAGAGAAGAGGGAGAAGGAAGTTCTGAGGCTGAATGGACACTCCAAACCGAAAGCAGCTTCTTTCTTTTGAGGGATGCAGCTGTGATACAGGGCTCAGGCACACAATTCCCAGCTCTCGTGTGGAATAGCCTGGTAGGGCTTGAAGCACATTCTTGCCATAAGCAGCTTTTCTTCTGAGAGCAGCAGTGAGAAGAAATGACTGAGCAGGCAGCTAATCCCTTCCCTCTCCCAGCCTACACCCACTTGCACCTCCGCGAGCGGCTCAACACGCGTTTCAGGCAGCGCTTAGCAAGGGATCAGCGCTGAACCAGACCATCTGCCAGGCTTTAAGAGGTGGTAATTTGGCTCCTGTTTGTTTGGGGATTTTTGTTTGAATGTGTGGAGTTTTATGCTCATGCTGCCACCAAGGAGGAGTTAATAGAGGCTGGAATGATTAATACTGCGATGGCAACGAGGTCTGCTCCAGCTCACAAGGAGAAGCCTTGCATGCTGAGCCCTGCTTTGCAAAGACGAGCCCCTCAGGATGCACGCCAGCTTACCCGTCGGAGCCGGGCCTCGAGGGAGTGCTGTCCGAGGAGATGGAGGAGACGGAGGCGACGGAGAGGGGCCGCGAGGAGGAGGGCATGGTGAAGGAGCGCACCATGGAGCGCGGCCGGCTGCCCCGCCGCTCCTCCACGCTGGGCGGCTGCGGGGAAAGGCACGGGTTAGCGGCGCCGAGCCGGCCGCGCCGCCGCCAACCGCAGCAGAAACCACCCAGGACCACTTCCAACTCTGAGGAGACTCGGCAGACAGAGAGCATCTACTGAGGTGCTGATCTGCACAAACACGCACAAGCTTCAACATTCTCCTCATATTTTTTTTTCTTTTTTTTAAACATATGAGCTTTAAGAAGCAGCTACTTGCCAAGAACGTTTGACCCATCTCTTCAACGTAAATGATGCTTGGTATATTTAAAATGACCCACTTAAAATGAGCTTAAAAAGAAAAATAAATGCTCTGACCCGATCTTTATGTCAAGAAAGCAAATTTGCAGAGTAATATCTTGGTAAAGAAAAAAAAAAACAGGCGAAAGAGTTTTTTCTTTTAAGTGCAGGCAATTTCAGAGTCCTGAATATTTATACAAGCTTTGTTAGTCATTAATAACTGATATATGCATAAAATAATTGAGCTCCTTCAGACAACAAATAAGAACCTCATGCTGCTTAATTACAGGTAGATTTTCCACCCTGCCAACTACTGGCAAATTGGTGCTGTACAGGGAAGACAGAAGCGATAAAACTCCATCAATCCTGACAACTCTGGAGGGAAACCAGAGAGATAAGAGCTCCTGAACCTGCTTTTCCTGGTGCCCGCCCGGTGACATCAATGTATATTATTGAAGTAAGCAAAACACAAGTGCCATTAACATCAATATTCCTCTTCTCCTTGGGAATAAATTACTATTTGACATACTGTCTCCCTATATACACTGGCAAGATGGCATTTGAAGGGCTGCAGGATGAGTGATTCTTAGAAGGATGCTGTGAAGATGGACAAGTCCCATGTAGGATGGTAGCACTGCCAGTGAAAAAATGCATCGTTGCTACAGAAAAAAAACTGAAAATGAATCTCTGATGAGGCTCAGTCTGCCATGGCATTCAATGGGATGGTTTTCAGCTCAATGAGATGGTTGTTCTGAGCTCTGGGGACTTGGAGAGCAGCAGTACAGCTTTGCCATCCCCACCTGCTGCCTATGTAGTCCTAAATGTTCTGCGTCTCACCGAGGCTGAGCACAAAGTGGAAATTCACTCCTTCCCTGTATCCCTATTTATCCACTCTTCAGATGAAATCCCTGTGGGATTTTCCAGGGAGCGTTTTGGAAACCCCTTTCTACCACCATACGGCCACAGACATGCACCCATAGACACAGTGACATAACTGGGGCTGGACGAAGAGAGCCTTGGCTCTCAGGCCTCCTCGTATGGGCTTCATTCCTTCATGAAAGGCACATTTCACTGCCTGCTGCTAGTCTATGGAAAGAAAAGAAACTGGAGAACTTGCAAATGTTTCCTTTTTTTTTCCCCAATTTTTTCTCAACCTTATTTCTTAATTTATTAAGGACTAGACTGCAGAATAAAAAGTAGGCTGCTGCCAGGGGAAAGCAGTAACGTGAGGAGTCAGGAACATGTCATCTTGGTCCACTTTCCTGCTGTCTTGGGAACAGTCACTTGGATTCCAAGCCTAGCTGGGAGCTCCCATCTGATAATCTTGCCTGGGAAGATTTAAGGATTGGAGAGAGGGAAAGGCATGAAGAGGTCCCATTTTTTTTCTATGATTCTATCTATGGAATTGTGCTGCAGATGCCAAGTGCAAAACAAACCCACCTGCCAGTGTTTGTAGTCTCATGGTGCAGAGATAACCTTTAAAGCTGAGCTGCATGTGGAACAGGGAAGTAACACTTGCCTAAACACATAGAGGATAGAGGTGGATAGAGCACCTCCAAAAGTGACAACTCAACCCCAATTTAATAGCCATGAAACTGCCACACCACTGCCAGAACCTGCAGCATGGAGAGCATCAAACCAGCCCCAGGAGTCTTTAGTTAGGACACCAGCTCAGCGTACTCAACTCTAAAATACCACTTGCTTCCCTACTCCTGGCTTTTTAAAAACTGATTCATAAAATAGCATCTGTTCTATGCATCTTTTTAAATAGAATTACCAATTATATTATCAGTGTTATGCTGTAATTAAAAAGGTGTCTGAGGGCTGTGGCCTCCTTTCCCTATGTGCAACACAGAACAAAATCTAACTGGAAACACCACCAAGTTCTTGTTTGTGCCTTGAAGATGAAAATACTGCCTCCCTAATCTTATAGTCATGGCACTATATGGGAAAATCAGCTATCAACTACTCTTAAGAGCAGCCCACTGAAGAGCAGGGCAGTCCTGACATCTAAAAAGGAGTTAAAACAACACAGAGGTGACATTCAGCTCTAGAACCTCCATGGCATGATCCCTTGATAGGAATTTTTAAAAAACACTTCCTTAAGAATGGAACATTGAAGAATTGCCCTAATTTTCAAGGAATAGATTTGGGCAACTTAGAAATTCACTCTAAGAAATGAAGTAGCAAAGCCCTCCAGACAGCTCTGCTCACTGTAATGATCCGATGGCACCAATGAAGACCACTGAGCACCACCACGTCTGCCCCTGGTACGAGATCCCGGCCTCAGTAACCAGAGACACCCTGGGTACAACCCTGAGGGACATCCAGTCCGACTGGCGTGCAACACGCAGCCAACCCCCGTACCTCTAGGAGCCGTTTCTGGAAATTTTTGAGGCCGTTAAGCAAACGATGTCCATGTCCAGCAGTGAACTTAATTCCATTGCTGCTATAACCCCTAAATTGGAAGAAAATCACTATGCTCTGTAGGACACTTAATTAATCCCGCATTCATCTTGCTTCTGCTAATCAGAGAGAGTTATAACAGAGAAATACAAAGTTCCTAGCAATTTTTCCAAGTATTCTTGGAAATAGCAATAATTCCTAGCAATAATTCCAAGTATTCTTTGAAGCATAAAGCTTGTGGATGACTTACAACAGTTCTGACACCATACTGCTTTTCTACTTTTTCCTTAAGCTGCTTGAAGCAGGCTTCCATCCGCTCATGGAACGGCCTCAGCGCTTCCGTCACCTTCTCCCCATGGATTCGGATGCCTTCCGCCAGGAAGGGAATCTGGGAATGAGAATGGGATCAGTGTGCCAGCCTTTTTAAGTGCAAGTTTTCTGCATATATTGCAGGAGAAATGAAAGAATTTACAGGAAAAAAAAATTAAAAAGACATATAAAGCACAACATAGTAAAAAAGGTTCTTGAGGAACTTCACACACAATTTCCTTTTCCTCTACTACCCACAGTCCTTTAAAATTGACATCTCCATCGTTCTGCCCAGTGATCATGTACTAGGGACCTACCTGAATTAATCTGGGAACACTGATATTCCCAACGCAGCATATCCACCAACCCCATATGTGCTGTATATACGTTAAAGTAGCAGACTGCTGAACGGCAGCCTGCAAACTGGGTTATTAATGCTAGCCTTTTCCCAGCTTCCTGAGAATAAAAACTTAGGAAACAAAATACTGATGTCTGCTTTAATGAATGCTTTTCCTAAAACTGCATATGCATATCCTTGGTATTCATATATATTTATACATATGTATATGAAACGCAGCAATATTTATTAATAAAATTTATAGCTCTCTATAAAAGCTTGCACTTCCCCTCAGTGAAAGTATGTTATTTTCTTTGAGAATCAAAGAGGAGAGAAAGAATTAAATGAATTCTCTTTTGTAACTGAAAGTAATCATTTATCTGCAAGGCTTCTGTCACAAAATATCCATGCCAACACAGGATTATATAATTAGTTCATAGTGTGGAGGTGTAGCTGACCTTTTAAAATGTTTGGAGAGAGACATTTTCATTCCCACAGCTATCCAGACACACCATTAGAGTTTGCTATCTCAAGCTTAGGAAAAATATTTCCTCTTCCAGGTCTGTTCCAGCCCACACACTGCTCTGATTCCAACTCAGATATTCTCTGCAGCAATCAAGCTAAGAAGCTTCTTCTTAATAATTCATAATTAAATCATAATACTGATTAAAAACAGATTTTTCTAATAAGACTGAGCAGCAATCAGAATGAGTAGCTTTAATAGTAAGGAGGATAATAAATATACAGATGAATTGCGGATGAACAGGCTCAAGAAATCTTATCAAGATGAATCCATGTGTTTTGCTCCTGTTTAACAGGGCACAGCTGTTACTTCCCTGGGTAGTTTTTTTAGGGGGAAAAAAAAAAGGATGACAGTATTTTTCACTGTAGCCCTGTTTATTTATAGCCATATGGATTTGTATTCCATATAGGTTTAACACTAAAATCAACTAATTCCTCTACTCCAGGTAAGTAAATGAATTTGAAAACGTTCCTAAATATCAGGCCAAATTCTGACCCTCTTGTTTTGAAGGGGTGAGTGGCCAAATGGCTCATTTACCCATTTATTTAAGGAGACTTGCTGACGGAGCGGACAGCTCTGCGATCATTTCCATGAGGAGAAAAGGTGCTAATGAGCCTCTCCTAGAGAGCCAGCATCTCCACTTCGGAAAAATGAGGCCATATGAAGCAAATATAGATTTTTTTTTTTCTGTAGGTAAATGCTGCAGACCTTAAAACAATGTCAGAGCTTCCTTTGTGAAGGAATTAAAGCAGTAAAGGTGTTTGTCAGCTTAAGAAAAGGCATCAACTCTATGTGCAGAAAGCAGAGAAGGTCTGCGGGAGGAGGAGGAGGCCGCTTGCTGCTCCCTCAGGGAGCTCCTTTACTTAATGGCAGCTAAATTTCATATTGATCTTGATTTTCTGCTCATGTGAAGGGTATAAAAAGGTACCTAAATATTAAATAGCTTAAAATAAAATCTTTTGATAAAATACGCTTTTAAAACTGTTAACTTTTGTCTGCTCCAGTTCTTTCAGTGAGGTAGAAGTGGCACAAGATGATTAGTACAATGCACTACTTGTTGCATGCTGTAAATACACTGGTTACCAGCATCAGGGTGGGCTTTGGTATCATTGCATTAGAATAAAAGAGCAGCTCAAAATTATGTAGCTGCATAGAAACATACTTTTGTAAGTGAAAAAAGCACTCACTTGGGCAAAAATGGACATTATTAATGATATTTAGCTGAAAAAATCACAGGCAAAGAGAAATGGAGAATTAAAATTCACAGGTGTGACGAGAGGAGCATGTCCTCCACGGCAGGAATTTCAAAGGACGACTGAGACAAAGGCAAGGCAAAGGGGTAGAAAAAATAGTCAGCTGATAATATGATTGTCAGACTACTATTTCATATATCCAGATTGATTTATACTGCATAAAGAAAATCTCTATGTGATTACAAAACCCCAAGAACCACAGTACCTGTTATTGAAAAATGAAAACTCATTTTAACTTTCCATCACTGTCAAATCATTGATGAATTCGAGCCACTGACTTAGTGGGGAAAGTTTCCATAACAACTCTTGCTTATTATATGATCCAATATTTATTTAGAAATAAGCTTCCCTCCCTGCTATACAGTTATGCTATATGTGTTCGAAAATGAGAAGTATTTTTAGAAGAGCTTTAAGTCTTAGCTTACCCAACATGCACACCCAAAGACTAAGCTAATTCCAAAGCACTAATTTCCACCGTGCAATTGCTAAACCGTCCAGTGGAAAGTACTGCAGATAATAAATAGTTTCTCTCGATCCCTTTTATCCCTCCTTTGGGTTCCTGTTGTTTGGAAGTAAAATACTGATGGGAAATTATGTACTTAAAACCACTGAATAATTAAAATAAAATGTGATTAGCTGGAATAGTAGTTTTATTTTAATACACAAATTTCAGCAAAGTAAGTCTTTTCTGAGGAAAAATGTGTCTGTAATTCATTTAAAACATGGCTATTAGAGACAAAGAGAGTTGACATGAAGTTAATCTTCTGGGATCAAATTATTTTACTCTATAGAACTTAAAAGCTCCTAAAATCCTATCTTCTGTAAAAACTCACAGAATAAAAAATAAAATAAATAAAAAGATTTTTGGCAGACCAAAAGAGTTTTTATTTAGTGGTCGTTTCATAGCCTTCAGAGGAATTTTTTGTTTTTTGTTTTCAATGTTGTATCTTTAGTTTTACTGCCTCTAAAACTGAGTCCTCTAGAAATGTAAATTGTTCCCTTTATTATAAAGGCAGAACTGAATATAAAAAGACAATGATGTACTTTCCTCTGCTGGAGGAAAAACATTCCCAGTCACTTTGGCATTTTTTAGCTATCACAAAATTATCTTGAGACCACTGAGAAAAGGTCAGCATACAGCTATGGGACAAAACTGGAATTGCTTCCAGTTTGTCCTCCAAAATATTCTTTGGCACATGGAAATCAAGTTCTTCATATAAAAAGGATCCTTCTTTGTTTCAGGCACTGGGTTCAATCCCTCAAAATACAGTCCAGAATATATTACCTGCATTAAATTTAAATGACTTCTGTGTTGACCAATGACCATAAAAATAGTAGGTAATTTCATTACCCATTATGGCGTTTACGGATCCCCAGACTTTTATACCATATTAAGTGAAATAAAGAACATATCAGATGTTTCTCAGAATGGCTAGATGAATTTTATACCTATAGTAGGTTAGTTTTAGTTACTCCCACATTTAAGATTTTGTGCTAGAAAGTCCTATAAGGACATACACAGCATAGTAAAAGGAAAATATGCTGTTCGGAAAGAAGGGAACATGGGAAGAAATTCTTTCTTGGGCTGTGGTAGGAAAAGGTGAGGTTCATGGGCAAGCATTTCAAACCTGAACTGACAGAGCTACTTCTAAAAGTAGCCTTGTGAAACTCAAAAAACAAAACTGAACTGCCAGGAATGCTAGGCAGCATTATTACAAGGCAGTTTCTCATTTCAGGGACACAGGATACTTTCTCACTGTGATGCATTAAAAAAAAAAAAAAAAAAAGGTTAATCCCGTTTGTTACTTGTGGGTTTATCAAATGACAAATTATGCCATATTTGAGAAGATGAACTTTAGCTCAAGTGCCAAGCCAGTCTTAAATGCCAAGGAAGTGAACAGGGTGAACAGTCTGATGTCTGAATTTTCTCAAAAGTGACACTACGCTGCCTTTGCAAGGTACTTGACCCCTGACCAACATGCCTTAAAAAATTTTACCTGCCAAGCTATCAGATCCTTCAGTTTTTCAATCTTGTCATGGTCCTCCGGATGCTCGTGCATATATTTTTCAGTAAAAAAGGCCTAGACATGAGAGAAACGAGCAGTTATTTCAGAGCACGAATCAACACCTACTCGCGACAGCAGCTTAAACCAGCATACACTCACTTCATTGACGTTATTCAGACACGGTGCCTGTGTATGCCAGCTTAATATGATTAATTTTCATAGTATGAATAATAAATACAGTGTTTACAGCTTCCCAGTGTTAATATCTTGTCCCATACAGCTTTTAACAGTTTATTTGTAACAAGCCATTAAGATTATTTAGAGAGATTTGCAACTAGCTGGTATCGCAGAAGTCATCTCTCTTACTTGATTAATCTTTATCAACTCATGTATTTGAAAGCAGATTGCAATCAGTTACTCTGGTCACCCAAGTTCACCCAGAGCACGCAGCGAAGCTCTCATCGATCTCAGGTTGTACCTCCAGCCAGGAACCATTTACCATGTGCCCACGAGAGCTTCCTGGCAGTTAAAACACGCTTGCTGCTAAGCATCTTTTACATCACATTTGGAAAGGCAAAAGCGTATCCAGAAAGACCAGAAGTACATGGAAGAGTGAGGAATGCAGGTCCTAGGCAACGTTCTGCACTGCAGAGAACTCGTGCACTAACACTCGCACACTCTCTGCAGCACTGCAGGAGAGCCCAGCAGCAAAGAGGTGACCGAGGACAGGAGGGCTGACTCTGACATTCACCTTTTCGTAGTTCGTGAAGCCTCCCATGACTGCAGGATCCACAATGCCGTTAAGCAGCATAGAGAGAGGGTTAATAGGTAGATTCGGATCATTCAGATGCTGCTGAATCATATTATTGATCTTATCATTTGTTAGCTGCATAGTTTCTATTGCATTTTCCAGTGGACTGATTTCAACCTAAAATGACAACAAAAAGAGGTTTTAATTAAGGAACAGAGATTTTACTGGCCAGGCCACTTCAACAGACCTTGTTGCCACCCAAGCACCACGGCTCAAAACGTTTCTGAGGTTTCACAACAAAAGATATTTAACCAGTGATTGGTAGAAAGAGTTGTTAACTGTTATGCAGTTAAATATTTGGTGTGTGTATATATATGTATCTCTATATATAGTGATAACTGGAATGATTATCAGTGTCATTGGAGAGAGTTAAATGAATTTTGCTGCTATAGTAGAGATTAGAGCTCAGCGCCATGACAGAGCCACAAAATGAGAAAGGCTCTGACAGGACTCAGGACTTTTCTTTGGAAAGATTATGGAGAACATCACGGATTAAGAACCGATAAATTTTAGGAGTAGAAAGAAAAATCCAGCTTAATGCAGCAGTAAGAAAGAAATGATAACTTAATTTGGATTTTCTGATGGAAAATGTCTTCTGAAGCAGCACAAAAATCAAGAAGGAGTTTTTGCAGTGATTATTTTGGTGTATGTCCAGGGAAATAGAGTTTAATATGTGGAAGAGATGGCTTCTACGTTATCCACCATGCTTTCTTCCACAAGGTCACATTTTCTTCTCCCTGACTGAGATAACAGAAGCATGAAATTTTCTCTCTGATTGTCTTGACTTCAATGGAGAGAGATCCTCTGATGCCTGCATGGGGTGAAGTAGTTCTTATAATGTGTAAATCTGATTTTAATTGACTGATCTCCAACTATTATTTATGATCAGACATTGTGTTTTTGGGACAGTTCATACTGAAACACAAGTTCAAACATTTAAAATTTACCTAAAATAGGCACATTTAGTGAGCAGGCTAAAAAAGCCTCGGCTAACTAGTAGCAACCCACAATTCCGAAAGTCCTTGCTGGAAGACTGATGTCAGAGCCTCCTTGCAATTCAAAAAATGATGTGTTAAGAATAGAAAAGAGAGGTTAATTGGGGCCTGTGAGGAAAATGCAAGTGTATATTTGATTACACTCTGATTTACATAAATGCTACATAAACAAAGCTGTACTTCTACCTAGCTATCACTTGCTTAACATGTTGCTGAGAACCACTTATAATCAAATCTCTGTCGCTGTTACTCTTACACCTGCCATCTGATTGCATCAAGGATGCTTTAATTAGCGTTTTTAGAAGTGTGCCTGGGGAATTATTCTAAGGAGGGGAGGTACGAGGCCCCACGTGCTGCTGCCGGCGAGACGCCCGGGCCCGAAAGGCTGCAGGGCGGCGGGCAACAGAAATAAGCTCCATTCAGCAGCGCAGCCGCCGGGCTGTGCTGGGAACATCCCACGCTAAATTTAGGCCTCTTGTCATTTTTATTAACGGGCTTATAGCTAGCCAATAATTTGTTGATGAAGCATTGCGTTTAAAGCTCTTGACTATCTATAGAAATTAGCACTCATTGAGCTGGCGGGCGTCTTTGTAACTTTTCCATGTCAGCAATCACGGCTGCCTTTCTCGCTCTCCTTTCTTCCCGCGCTCGGACAATCTTCTCGCCCAGTTTTTTTCCAAGCAGATGGAGGGCTCTAGTTTCCAGCCGCCTCCAAGCTGTGCCTTGGACCTGGTTGAAAGCTATTTATTCTGAATTTCCATACTTGCAGTTATGGACTTTCTTCCAAGGCGCTTGCTAATTCCAAGCACCGAGCAATCTATTTACGGCAAAGAAAAAATTATATAGTGTTGATATGTATTTGTAACACTTCAAAAACTAAATATCAAAACAAAGTATAGATCAGTAACTGCACATTTTTTTAAACTCACTAACTATAATTCAAAATCCAGTTTTCAATATTTTTTTCCTCTAAAATTGTTTGGGCCAAACTTCAGCAAATTAGATTCAGAATAATGAACACATTCCTCGTAGACAATGAACCAGCTGAAAAGGTTTAGCTAAAATTGCTCAGAAATAATTAAAATAAAAACAAATACATTTGAGGAAATGATGCCCATTTCTACTGCTTATGTAACATAATATATTGCATTTATTAAATTAAGCCTCTCACCACTGATTTACTACAACCTCGCCTCTTCATTTAAAGATGTTCCAGTTTCACCAATAAATTATCAGATGGTCACAGATATTCTAACTTGCTGGGTTTAGCAAAATAGCAATGATATTTGTATCGAAACTCAGAATTTAGGATGAGAGAAGCCAACTCCGTGAGCACGTCTCTAGCCCCGCAGCTGACAGCAATCTTGATACTAACTCTGTAGTAACTCTGCCAGAGCGCGGTCAAAAGTTATCCTGTGCTGTCTTCCCACATATTATTAAGTTCCCTTCTGGTATCATTTTTCAACCGTGTGACTAATATAATGCTTACTTACAAGAAGCTCACAGGAAGAAGTCTCCCAGGATTTCTGCACCTTTCTGTGACAAGCCTAGCGTTAAAGGTGCATGTATACAAATTGCCTGCATAAAGCAGCCTGTCAGGCTCTATTCTTAACTCAGGGGGAAAAGAGACTTTCATCAGATTTGCCAGCCCTTCTAAGCCACGCTTTGGCAATCAGGAAGATAAATACACTCTATCAGGATTATACTGAAAATGCAAAATTCATTAAAAATTCCATGTGTTTTACACAGTTGCTTATTACGGTCAAATATCGCATTCATATTCTGTTACTATAGATACCATAGTAATTTTCTGCATTACTTCTGTTCATCTAAATACAACTGTCCAACATAACCTCAATGGAGCAGTGAAAAAGGTTTTAATTAATCATATGCAAATTGTTCTTTCCCTTTAAAAATAAGCCTCGCAAGGGAGATTTAAAGACTGCAATAACAATGCTTTTACTGCTACTTAAAAATTATAGCTGCGTAAGAATAATTTAATCTTTAAGACATTTAATGGACATGTCTTATCTAAACAGTGTAAATGGCACAACCAGAGAAATGCATATTTTTGAGTTAGTCAGGCTGCTAGGGTATATTTTAGCTAACTATGGAAAATAAAAGCAACATAAACATGTTTAATGTTTCATCATGAATGATAAGTTTACGAAGAAATGCAGACACATAGAGTGCAGCAGGTCTATGGTATATTTTGCATAAATTGCAACTGAAATATCTAAATTCTTTTTTCCAAAATGCAGGTTGGCTTTTATATAATAGGGTTCCCCCCTATATCTGGGGTTCTCCTTCATCCCAGGCTTCTGGCCAGCACCCCTGGCTCTCATGGCTCACCTGCTGAAAGCCAGAAGTTCTTTCTAAAAGCATTTGCAGCCCGTTATGAGCTGGCCCTGCAGCTCGGGCAGGCTCGGGAACACTCCATTCCTTGCATGGGAGGAGAAGAACATTTCTCCAGCCAGCTGCAGCCCACCGTCCACCGGAGCCTGCAGCAAGTGGGTAAGCTGACTTTGCGTTCCCGTGTCAAATGTAGCTGCATTGATTTGTTGTTCACTAAAGCACAGTTGTGCAGAAATATAAATGCTTGCTACCTGTATAAAAAAACACACTCCTTTGCGCAATTTCAATAATGCAAAATTGATCTTACCATGAAAACCGATTTGACTTCAAACCACCTCAGAATCCCGGGCAGCTTGTAGGCCGTCACGTAGATGGTTCTCTCAATCCACATATTCTGAAAATGTGACACAAAACTCTTGTCATTGGATGGATGCTTTTTGTCTTAAGCACAGGCTTAAACCATCACCATCATCATCATAATGAGCTGCAGCACAGCAGCATTGAAAAGGTAGGTCCACAGGGAATCTGGGTTTGAACACAGTTGCACTTTGACACTGCTCCAAACCAAAGGAGAATATTACATAGAAGATCCACCTACCACACAGGCATTTCTATTAGTTTAACTTCCAGGGCTTTTAAAGACTATCTTCCATAAAACCACAATATCTTGACTTGATATAAGGAAAAGACGCCTTTTTCCCCAGAAGGCAGCGGAGCAGTGGGACAGATCCCTGGGCAGGCTGCACCATCTCCATCCACGGGGGTTTCAAGAGCCAACTGCACAAAAGCCCTGAGGAGCCATGTGGACTGGGCCCTCCTGCACATCCCTGGTGACCTTGAGGCCCCAACCTGAATTACTTGGTGCTTCAGCAACACAAACCGCTGTGAACCTCAAGGGCTTCATTTTTGCTGTTTTTAATTTAAGCATCGATGATGATTTATTATTATTTAACATGGATGACTAGGCCCCACTCCTACACAGAAAACTAAGTTCTTTGTTTAAGAAATGATGAATGAATTTAGCATTTTAATTACTACTATGTTACTACTAACTGCTCCTACTAGAACCACTGTGAATAAAATGATGTCTATAAAAAAAGGTAATCAGTTTTATGCAACCTGTTGTAAACATTTTGAGGCATACAACCTGTGCTCAAATGAGTTTTATTGACCATTAGATGAAACATATGGAAAGACAAAAGAAAAGAGCATTGCTGCAAAAAGATTAGTTTTAGAAGATGCCTGACTGAAATCCTCATGGCAAGAGAGGTTTCAGCAGGGGACTTCTACATTTTAAACCTACAAAATCTACAAAATCTCAAAATCTACATTTTGAACTTCTTTCTCAAAATAGTTTTTAACAAACTAAGTATTTGCGTTTTTTTTTTTCCCACTGGCATAAAATAGAGCATAATAAATTGGGGGTTTTTTGAGCTTCTAGCAAACACAATCACCTTACACCTAGAATTTACTTTTAAATAACCAAAACAGAGAATGGTTCAGATTCTCATACTGGAGGGAAATAAACAAAACCCAAAATATAACTCTTTTCTTTTTTTTTTACCGCAAATTCATTATCTGGGTTTTTCTCTCCTTTTCGAACAGGGCGTGAATATTCAAACCGTTGGACTTCATTAACTCTATAGAAACTGAAAAAAAAATCCCAGGAAAAGCATAGTCAGTATCAAATATTTTCAGTTTAGGAATTGTTGCTTAGTTCTATTTTTATGAGGAAAAAAAGTTTATGCAAACATAAAATATTTTACAAGTATAAATAGTATAAAATATTTGTGAGATGTTTCCAGTAGGTTACTTAAGACTTCTACTAAATAGCAAAGATATGTCTGAAACATCAGTGCAACCACTAAGTTCTTTGGCTGCAGATGTACAGAGGAACATCCAGACACACGACCCCAAAACACAAGCCAAGTAAACAAGAGAATAGCCAAGGATCTGGAGCAACACAAGTTTTTCTGAATTACCTGAAAATATACCTTATTGCGCTTGATAATTTTTTTAAGAATCTAATTAAGAATTTAATTTAAGCTCCCAAAGTGACCCATCTCACTGACCAATCAGTTCCATGCACTTACATGAGTTATTTAAGGCCAACCAAAGGACAGCTTTTATTATTTATTTACTGACAGCAACTACCAACGTGGAGCACCTGGGCAATCGCCTGAGGCAATTTTCATTTATTGCTTATGGACAGGCTGGAAGAACTGTTCACTCTATGCAGCATTTGTTATACAAAGAATTCATTTAAGTGTTAGAAGGGAAATGGCCAAACCCACCAAAACTCACCTGACGATTTGTTCTGACACAGGCTTGTGAAATTTAGGCGGTAAATCAAGTTTGGGCTTTACAGTAAAGCACTGAATATCTGAATTCATGGGTTAAGAACTGAAAAAAAGACCATTTCAGACGACTCAGCTGGAAAGCAAACAAAAGTCCTGCAACAAGCAGATCTACACAGGGGTCTGATGAGACAGAAGGGCGAGAGCCCCTGCTCCGGTGGCCACAAACAGGCAGCCCGGCTGCGTGCACGGCTTCCGCACGCGGAAACGCACGTGGAAACGCAAGGATACACTGGCCAGAGGAGGTTTTGATGTCGTCGCCCGGAGGAGAGGTCGTTTTCATTTTCTCTGCATTTGGAAACTGCGTCAGGAGCCTGGCTTCGAAGTCCTCACGGCGCTCGTACTCCTTGCCGCGGTAGATGAACACTTTGTTCTGCAGGGAGATCGAGAGGCAGAACTGCCGTTAGCGGGACCCGCAGCGACAAGCCACGAGATATTGCACATCCCTAGCACTGAGCTGTGATTTTTCACAAATATTCGACCCTGAGTCGCTACAGAGGGGAGGAATCTCCGTAATTCCAGCACCAGGATGAAGCACACGCTTCCCTGCAGCGTGTGTGTCACCCCGCTGAATTCACCGGGATCTAAACACAGGATTGAGGGGATCCACGGCACTGAGAATGTATTCAGAGAAATTGCAGAAATCCCTGCAACCCAGGATCTCCCAAAAGTCCCCTTATCTATCCTCCAAAGTAAGGATGGAAGTAAATAAATCAAGCAAGGTGCTTCCTGCATCTTTTTTTAGAGAGCTACAAGCAAGCAAGAGCAGCAGACAGAATTATAGACTTGAAATGAGGTCAGTTTTAGCATGTAGGTCCAAAAATACTGACCTTTTTTTGGAAAGACTTCTACACTATGGATTATATTAGACTATTAACGATAAAAGACTATGTCAGTCTCTTAATGTTTTGTCAGAGTACTGTGGTGTGAACACGGCATAACTGTCAGGTTACTAAATACTGCATTTATTGTATTTTTACATATTGATTTATTCTGCTAACACTAAAGGAAACCAAGATATATTTTATATAGTCCATGTATGTACTGAAAACATTAAATTCTAATGAAGATATGCATATTTATAAACTGATCAAAAATCTTAAAGTGAGCTGGGACATGAATGCAGTATTTGATTCTGAATATGCCCAACCTTAAGTTTATTCTTTATCTCAGAATGAACACTTGGAGAGAAAATTATATAGCATTTGTTATAAAGAAAGTGTTACGAAATCAGCTGGAAAAAGATGAAATAATTTTCCTTTACCCTATCAGCTTTCACTCTGCAATGCTGTCTGTTGCAACTCAAAATAGACGAAAACAATACTCTCTATCTCAAAAAAAAGACATGAAGGGCAAATGTCTAGGAAGCACATTATAATTCACAGGGAGAATTACAATAGGAGAAGAAAACTTGTATTGAGCATTTTCTCATACAGTAAGGCGCTTAACAGCTAGATCTTAAAGAGTTTTTCTCCTTCATTTATTACAACCTAACCATTTCTCAAGCATTTGGTAAAACTTTTTTTTTCTGCACTTACAAAAGAATATTCCATTGTGACAAAAAAAAAGCAGTTCAATATTAATAAAGCAGTTTAACACTATTCTGTATTGTATTGCTTGGACTATGCGGTTAAATATAGAGCTCCCAATGGAAAACTGCCTGTTGTACTCCGCACATTTTCAAGCCTTCTCTTTAGGAGTAGGAGAAAATATTAATTCAATTATTTTTCAGGGGTTGGTTGACCCCAACGATGACTCCTTTTTTACCTGATAATAAATATTATTTTGCCTGGTAAAATCTAAGAGAAAATTAAGATTTTAAAGAATTCTTAATAACTTTTTCTTACTGAACGCACCATGAGCAAACATGTTTGCTGTCTGACGTTGCTAAAAGAGTGTTTCATGTGCAGTATTTGGCACTCCAAACGTGACAGCAGCTCTCAGCTTTGCGCATCGTCATCTCTTCGGCGCCCGTCCTTCCATCCAAGCGCCCGGTGGCTCGCGCACCGTCGTGCCCGGGCGCCTGCTGCCAACATATGGCACTGCAAAAGCTCCGGGGCAGAGCTGGGCGCTCGGCAGCCTGACACTTCACTGAGCAGTCGCTGTCTCCCACGCAAGAGCTGCCCGACCATGATTTGGAGAGCAGGCAGCAAGCTAACACATCCGAGCTCATCTCCCAGTTTGTGTCAATGGTTTGCACTAAACGCATGCTCCAAAACACAGCTGGAGCTTGGCAGAAATGGAGCAGGGTCAGTTTTATTCCTTCCAGCTCAGGAACCCTGATGACTAGCTGTGTTTATGGGGTGTATAAATAGCATAAGGATACCAGCAAGGCAGCACCCCACGGCATGTGGAAAGCCACAAGCATCTGCCTCTTCATGGGACAGTTCCAGAACTTCTTCAACATGATCTTCGGTTAGGTTGTGGAAAAGGGCTCATGTATGACATGAGCGACTCCACTGTTTAGTTTTACCTCTGTATTTCCTCCCTGCTCCCCATTTTGACCAAGGTTTTGGATGACACTTCACTGTTTGCTGATAGGATTACACAGAAATTTTCTCCACTGCTGGACTGCGTGCCCTTCAGCCAAGCTCACAAAATAAATGCTTGGGCTGCACCCTTTGGTGACCTTATTGGATTTTCAGAGTCAACATTAATCTCTGGATCCATTTACCCATTCCCCTCTGCTCCCTGCAACCTTTTAGCACAAACTGTAGTAGCTGCTCTACAAATACACAGAATGGGCACCCAGTCCATAAACTGCTGTGAACACCATCTGTAATTTGGACTAGATTAAATCCAACCACACCACAGGCCAATGTGCAGGGGGTGCTTTCAGTTCTGCTCCCACCCCAGCAGCCCTCCACTGGGTTTCTCCCATTTGAGGCTGGGAAAAAAACACTCTCCAGTGTCCCAAGCATTTATCTGAACAGCAGCAGACTTTTTACAAATGAACTCCTGAGCACTTGAAGTAAATATTTTATTTCCTGGGATTTTTTGCAAGCCTTTCCCTTCTTTTCTGAAAACATTTTCAGTTTCTGTGTGAATATCTGATCATAAGATCTCCATGCAGAAGGATCACTCTACACAAGTCTCTTCTGAAATCATCCTGTTTCTTTTTCATCACTTTTCACACTTCTAACGCAACATCATATATCTAAAGGAATCAGCTGACCACAAGTGATAAAAAGCGATAAAATCAGTTTAATCAGCACTGATCAGCACTAGATTTATTCATTCAGATGGACTTTAGCATTTGCCTGGGATTACTCCTGGTATTTATTATGGCATAATATGCGAGTGTTAAAATGGAATTATTCATTTATATTCAGGAACTCATCTCTTAAACAAGTATTTCCAGGAGGAAACCCTCTTGCAGCCCCTGAGACTGAATCTCCGAGTCTTCCAGAGCGAAAGTAATTTTGTTCTTCTGTCTCCTGAACTGCCTTAATCTACTGGAACTCTTCCATGGGGGTTTGGGGAGAGATTCTTCCTAAACTGAAAATCTTCAGCTTTTAAGGTACATAAGAACAGCAGAGTAGCTAAATACTATGCATTTTTTCCGTGTCACAGGCTACCAAATAGAGGAGGTAGACAGTCCCAAGACTCATGATACAGATGGAATTTAGATGTTTAAGTCCCTCAGCTAAGCACTAGCTCAACTCCATAGCAATCCTAGCAAGAGCAGAAGAAATCTAAAGCAGTTGATTACTGTCATCAACTAAGTGACCTGTGTTTCAAACAGACGCACGACTCATGAATATGTATGGTAAAAGACTGTATTTAAAGATAATGTGCATGTTTTTGGGGTGTGACAACAACTTTAAGTGGTTAACATGCAAAAAACCTTGCCAATAGCATGTAGCGAAGAGCAGTAGCTGTGATGCTCAATTCATTTTGTAGAGCGTGCTGGAAAGGACATTCACATGAAAGCAAGTACGATCAGATACAGAAATTCCCATCTACCTGTCAGGCAAAAATGTCACCATTTCTCATGCTGCTGGTTATTTCCCTGTTCTACAGTCTGGCAACATCTTCCTTGCTAGTGGGTGTGTTTGAGGAAAAGGTTTCTCGACAGAAAGTCTAATTTCAATTAAACTGACTAATATCTCTTTTATAGGGCTAAAATACAATTGCTATTGGCAAAAGAATGGTAGATAGATGGAAATAACATACCAGTATTGGTCATTTCTCCACATGGAGTAATATTTCCAAAGCAAGAGACCTGGCTATCATCTGCGGGAAAAAGCCAACACTTACCCTTATGAACGTAGGAAATCCCTGGCCATAATACCCAACAGCAAAATAATCTGGTTTAGGTCTTATCACTTTCACAATGTTTTCATAGAACTGGGCTTGCTTTCTCTGAAAAATAAATAGAAGAAACATATTTAATGACTCAAGCTTCAGAGCAGATCCTACACTTAAGATAGAGCTGAAATTCAAGTAACAGATGCCCTTTACTCGCCACTTTTTGTTCACTTTCCTAACAGATATTAACTGATATTTTACAATATTAGTTTCTGTATCTGTGCTTTTCATGCTCATTTTAGTGCAGCAGAGTATTTAATCCCAAGATCTTGAGGAAGTGGCAGAAACTGCAGCCTCAGCTCCCAGGGGTGACAGTGCTGATGTCCCCAGCACTGCGACTCCCTGCCCACGGGGGACTGCGACACTCACGGTGCTCAGAGGCTCAGGAGCAAAAATGTTGTCAACTCCTTATTGCTAAATAAGGTTGTTCATGGTACTGGCATACTTGCTTTCAGCTGTTGCATTTTGCTATATTTTTCTAGTGTTTCCATTCCATATTTATAACTACTTATTTGTATAAGGAAAGCATGCAGTTGAAAATGGCAGAAAAATGTAACTTTTAGAATAAATACACACATCAGACACCATCTGTTTTCACAGCGGAATCCTTTATCTCCAATGATGGAATAATAACAAACATTCCGCTTTAAACAACCTGTTTGTTAACTTATATTTAGCCTATTATGTTCCATGGGAGAAGGAATTCCAATTTGGGGGCAGCTTTATTACAGTTCCCATAGGACAGCGATCTCAGTTCACCTGTAGCAAAACTACTCTGTCTTTTGCAAATTGTCTAATATTTAATATGTCTGGAAGGAAAGAGACAATAGGGATTGGAGAATAGGATTCTCCGATCAAAAACTCTTCTCCTGATAAAGAGGTAAATGCAGGTTTCAACAAGTATGAGAGCTGAGAGCCCTACATTTCCCAGATTAGAAACGGGCAAGCTTCCTCACACAGGCAAATATGCTACCTTGGGCATATATACCACTGCATGCTGTGAAATTATTTCTAAGTGAAATAATGGAAATAATGGCACATTTAGTGCATGAGAGAAAAGGGAAAAAAAATCCGTAACTCCATGTTTTTGGCCTCCTCTATGATATATGAAGTGCAAATTCAAGTTTTGGCTCTGAAGAATGACTAAATAGGATAAAAAGCAGTTGTCTCAGTGACAAAAGCTTCTCATATTCCCATTTGCAAGTGGAAAGATGATGGAAAATTATCCAGAAGGGACTCAAAAATCAACTGTCTGCAATGAATGAGTCTGTCTGACATGTGACAGTAATTTCTAGCTGACGAAGAACTGTTATACTGAAAGGCAGCATGTTTGATACTGATGGCAACATCCCGGGCTCTGTGGATGGCAGCAAAGCCAGTGGAACAGCGAGGATTTTCTTGCATAGTAGAGCACCTAAAAACGCTCTATTTTGAAAAATCTCTATCTATTTATCTGACTATTTAAAGCTCTATCTACCTGTAGATCTTAACTTCCTGGAGAAAAAGCAATATGAAACCAGATTGGGAAACAAATACAGGTAAAAAAAACCCCAAAATAGTTAAAATGCTTATTTATCAGAGAAAGAAGAGATAGAACAAACGAACAGGGCATGCTAATAGATAAAAAAGCCATAAAATTTGGAAGGGTGCTATTCACCTCTTGTCTTCAATAAAATGCTTCTGGGGAGATGGCCCCTAGGGCATCTCAAGCTGAGCATCAGTGCACAAACAGGGTGCAATGACACCATGCTAATATTCTGCTCAAATAGAGCAGGACTTAGCAGAGAAATAACGAAAAAGCTAAGGAACAGCTACCCTGGCGAGTGGCAAAGAAATGAGAATAAAATTTATTAAAAATTTGGAAGCCAAAGATTTTCTGAAATAAAGTGGAAAATAACTATGTGAATTTGCTTGACAACTTTGGAGTCAAAGTGCCTGCTGCTGTTTAACTCTTTGCATGCAAAAAAAGGGCACAGACAAAACAAACAGGTAATGTCAAGACAAAAAGAACTAATCCAAGTACATGGGGATTTTAGATTATTCGTATCTAAAAAAAGTGAATGTGAAAATACTCTTGAAAGACAATATTCTCATTTATATGTAAATTCTAGATTTCCTTTTATACTCCTCAAAATTGTCCTAGCTATATATATTTGAATATAACCTTTTCAGATACTTCAGTGGTAGTCAATTAATCAGCATTTGTCTGAAAAAGCCAAACTAACCACCTATTTTTGCATTTTATTAAGAGATCTTTTTCAATATTATTCAAAGTCAGGATCTAAGTCATTTTCAAAAACCTACCAGTAGTTCACTGAGTTGTTCATAATCAAACATTTCATTTTCGTACTGTTCTGCAAGTTCTTTACCCAAGGCAATGGCCTCTTCCCACATCTGTTGGAAAAAAAAAGAAATTAAAAAGAAAGAACGATAAAACCTTCAATTACATGCCTTAGTTAAATGACAAAATCAGGACAAAATCAATCTTAATAAAATACAGTAAAATGGATTGGGTCACATGCCTGAAACTCCTGTGTATAAGATGTGCCGAGTAGTTGCAGGAGCTTTACCCACACATGTCTCTTTTGACCACTGATCAGGCAAAATGATCAAGATATTTCAGAAATAAAGATGACTCCAGCCAGCCCAACCAAAGAGGCAGTGATGTGTAAACACAGCCTGCCCTCCAAGAAACCCAGAGCCCGGGACTTCAGATAAACGTTATTGATTGATGATGGTCTATCATCACCCTTCTCTCCCTAAGATCTATAATGGATATTAGGCAGGACAGGCAATTTGCAGCTCTTGCTTTCAAGAAATATTCACTGGCTCTTTCTCTTCTCTTGTTCTTCAACCATGAAATGCAGCAGCCGTCTCAGCTGACCCAGAGTAATTCAACAATATCCGTCAGCTCCTTGGGAGCCAACAGTCTTAATGAGGAGCAGCGAGAATGTTTTTAAAAGAGTATTTTCCCTTTTTTTTTTCCTTCTTTGAAAGTCAAGCCACTACTCCAAACCAAAAAGGTCCCTAAATTAGCACAGCAGGAGACAGATCCAAGGGCAGACTTGATGGTCTGTCCCTGCCGTTGATGTCCAGCTCGCATTGCCCACCTCACTTGGGGAAGAAAAGTATCACAGCTGGAATGGGGTGTAAACCAGTGTAGTACTCTGCATCCTAAATTTGAATAGCCTGTCCACAGCACCTAACACTCTTCTTGGCATCATGGCACACATTGGCTGTGCTGGGGACCCAGGAAGTGCTGCATCTGCTACCTCTTTTTCTGTTTTTTTTTCTCATTTCTATAGTCGGGTTCATGATATTATTTTCCTGGGGAAGAGGACAGGAAGGAGCAGGAGTTTCCTAAGGTTTGTGAAGAGCTTTGGAGATTCTAAGAGGCCTCAGAACATCAAACTACAAGGAACCCCCATCTGCCCACAGCCACAGGGCAACTTTAGCACTTGGGAACACAACTTTGGGAAAATGGGAAGTCTGCCAAGTTTTATATGCCATATTATATGCCCAATCCAGAATGATGATATTGAAATATCTTTTCTAAACAAAAATTAACATGACTTTAAGAGCAAGGGAATATTTAGGGGAAAAAATAAACACATTCTTACATGTTAGGCTGGGTTAATTTTGGCTCAGAGGAGCAATATACTGCCACTTTATAGAAAGTAAACGAATATTCACAGTTGTTTGATAAGTCAGCAAGTGAACCCTTTTAAAAATCATTTAACCTCTCTGCACTTCGAACGCCGCCTCCTTTTCAACTTCAGTCATCCATAACTTCTTTTGCACATTTTCATTTCAAAGCAAACGGCATTGCCGTCATTCTCATGGCCTCCGTTTTCGCTTTGCACGCTCCAAATTTAACTCATCCCTTTCCAGAGCAGACGCATTTCTGCCCTCTCTGCCTCCGGGAGACTCTCTAGGGCAGCGATGCTGAAGATGACAAACAGCCAGGCCCGCGGCGGAGGCGGGATGCGGAGGTGCCCCTTGCTCAGCAGGCAGCACAGTCAGCTCCAGCCCTGGCTCTGCCACCGATTAAATTACGGCTTTGACAGAACTATATCTCTTTTTGTGAATTTTTTATCCTTGCTGGTCAAGGCTGTAAATGCCTGAGTGAGTGGTTTGAACAGCCGAGCAGAAGGAGCCTCCCCCATGTTGAGCAGAAGCTTTAGATGCTGCTGAATATAAATATTAATATTGATTTTTGCAAGGGTTACAGACCAGAGAGCCTAAAAAGGGTAATCAGAAATTAAATATGATATAGATTTAGTTTATCTCGAATATACACCCAGTAGTCACACAGCCCTAGTATTCCATTTAATAACCCCTTCTTATCTCTAACTGAATAGGAAAAAATAGGAGCCAAATAGGAAAAAAAAATAGAAAAAAAAAGATTCTATGAACAGCATTTGTTTCTAACTTAAATTACTGAAATTACTCTTAATAAAATTCTCTAAAAGTTAGCTTATACATTATACCAGTGATATTCTGTCGCGTCATTTTTAAATGACACACATGCAGCCATATATCAGAGATAAAACCCTTCTTTTGCTGCTCTGCTACAAATAAGTGATACAACTGACAACTATGGGATAAGAACCTCGCAAATCTTGGCTAGATTTGCTCTAGCCAAAGAATGTGAGCAAAGGACCCTCTCTGTTTGCCGCTCTGCTTACAGCTCCTGCTCTGCTCCAGCCCCTGCTCGGAGGCTCCAGTGTTGCAAGGCTCAGTTTGTGTAACGCTGTAATGCCCCGAACTTGCAAAGCCAACGAGTCAATTAATTAACCACTTGCCTTTTCTCTACATTGCATGTTCAACTGGACCAAAACACCTGCAACGCTCTCGTGCCGAGACACGGCAATCTAAAACTGAAGCCAGCAATTTATTTTTGATGCTACACAGCAAACGGGGATGGTGTATTTAGGATGCTCTGAAAAATCCTCTGCAAAATTTCTCTATTTGCAACCGAGCCAGTTTATTCAGGTGAGGACAGCGTGCGTGTGGCAACGGATTCTGACAAATGAAATCTGTATTCCTGAAGGTCAGGAACTGCCCATCTGCTGCCGCACAGATTTCCTGCACTGGAAATTTTCCCAGTTTTGCCCAGGACATGGCAGGTCTTCTGGAGGAGTGGGTTGTGCAGGGAGCTGCAACACAGGACTGCTGTGATGCACAGCTCATTAATGCAAGAGACATCTATCTGGAGAGGGTACAAGCAAAGGCTTTGTGATATTGGAAGAAAAACGCTTCTTTTATGCTGAAAATGTAAGAAAAAATAGGTGCAGAACCTGAATTTTGTTGGGTGGACACAGGCTGCAAATTTTTATAGGGAAGACTTTGAGGATGCTGAAGGAGATATTTTTGGGGAAAAAAAAACCCCACGATTTAATTTATTATTGAAGTTCTTATTGCTTGCTGGCCAGAAGGAACTGCAGCGCCCCGCTTCATTTTTGAGTTTTATAATGGGAATGGAGGATCTTAGGAGAGTTTTCAGCTCCTGCTGAGTTAATGGCCAGTAAAAATGAAATATTCAAGGATAAGAATATTAACATGCAACATTTTGAAGTATTAGGGGAATTATAAGCACTGCTTAAACTTCAGATAATATTAGATAACCACTAGGAAAGCTTAATATTCTTAATGAAGCACTAAAACACCTTATTTCACTGTCGTTAGTGCTGTACTTAAGAGGTGCAAGGTGGTTGGAAGCCCTTTAGAGCCACCTGCCATAGTCACTGGAAGGGCATCACACACAACAGGGCTCTGAAGAACATCTGCTTGTGCATGGGCTCGAGATCTGAGCAGGGCTCCAGGCTGCACGTCCTCCTCGTGCCGGCGCTTTGCAAACGGCAGCATTCCTCCAGCATCCTTTCCGTTGGAAAAAAAGGCATTGCTTGCCATATTCCATGAACTGCAAAAGGCTTTGGAAGGCAATTCACCCCCACCTCCCTTTATGACTGCCACTATTTTTTCTTCTTGTCATGATATGCTCAAGCCTGGCAATTTTCAGCAAAGTCCATGGATTAAGTGCTTTATTGGAAATTACGAGGCTTCAGCCAAACATTGGAAGAGCAAACACTGCAAAGGATAAGCTGGACTGCAGTGATAAATGTGAAGATAAAGCTTTTAAGGGCAAAAGCCCAGGGAGACGAAGATGAGATTGAAAAGTGAGGAAGGGAAACGATCTGGGGGAGAAAGAAAAGGCTGCCAGCATGAGGGAAACTCATCAGGAAAAACAAGGTATTGTGGAGAGGAGGAGCTTAGAAGGGTAATGAAAAGTATTACCGAAAAGGGAATGGAATCCATAAAGTAGGAGGGCAAAACACAGCTCTTGTGTCTGTAAGTGGTAATTTAATAAAGGCTAAGGATGTGCTTCAGCTTTAGAAAATACTGTTTTAAGTGCTGAAGGTCAAACATATGTCAAAATGCAAGACTGCTAAGAAAAAAAGCTATTAAAATCAAAAAGCAGGAGGAGAAAAACTACAGGTGTCTCAAGTTACAAAAGCAGGATGTTCATGGCAAAGCATCAGGTTCTCAGGCAAAATGATGCTCAGCAGAAGCCCCTGCTCAAGCTTCTCCTATTGGGAATTTCTTTCCTGTGACCAGCGAATAGGAGTGATTAGACCTTCCTGCAAATTCCGGAGCCTCTGGAAAAGCCTGGCAGTTGCTCCCTGCTCCTCAGGGAAGACGCTGTCTTCCCACAGCTCCTGCAGCTTCAGGAGACGGTGCAGATGAAGGCAGTGCTGGGCAGGGACGCGGCGCATGCTCGGTGCCGGACACCGCTGCCTTAGTGTCCCTGGCAGCTGCATTCCCAAAACGGCAGCAAATGCCCATTCCCAGGCCTTGCTGTTCATGGAGCGGTGCAGGTTATGCAATTGCTGGATTAAATTTGCAAACTGCGCTGGCGAATGTGAAAAACTGGCCTAACCTCCTGCAAGCACATCCCAAATGAAAGGAGGATCTTAACTCTCTGAGAAATGTATCTTAATTTTAATAGTGAGAATTTCCTTTGAACGTCCCGACTCTTGAAAATTCAGGGAAGATATTCATATTCTCAGCGTATAATGATTTTCTTTCCCTTTTCCTTGTAGGATGATCAAGGAAAGAGTGTCTTAAAACTGAACAATCCGAATCCTCTGACCTTAGTTGTGCCAAGGAAACGGGACTGGGCAATCACACAACTCCCTTAATCACACAGCTCACAAAAAAAGAGAATAATGAAGATTGCCTATCTAACTACAAGGGAAAGGGGCAGACACCGAGCTATTTCTCTTGCAAGCTGACAACTCCTGCTCTTACTTCCAGCTGTACAAGTGGAGGAGAGAAATTAGGGATGCTCATTCCGTCGAGCGGCCGTCTCCGGAGCAGGGAGGCCTTGCTGGGAACCGTGGCCTCCGCTGCAAAGCAAGCAGCAGGAATTTCGCCTGCTGTTTATATAAACAGCTCATTAGTGCAGCAGCAGCAATGGGCACGTACAACCTGAGGATAGACTGTGTTCAGCACAGATGAAAGGAAAGCACAGCTTTTAATTTACAGCTCAAATGCAGTGGGCTGGCATTCCGACGAGCAATTCCCATCCGCTGTACACTGGCTCCGTAAAGAAGGACCTGCAAGCCTATCCAAATGTAAAACAACAACATAAAGATATGCAGCTTCTGGCTTCTCCTTTCAAGAGCAGAGCGTAATACTAAAACCAATCTACTCTTAAATCAAATATGACACAAATTATAATTAGGTTACTTTTTAACAGCTGTTAGAGGGTTAGTAAAAGTTTTATGGAAAGCAGAAGTGTGCCATGGAAATAAACAGTGTTCCACGTATATGCACAAAGACACCAGCACAGTCAGGGGACACAGTCACACTCGTCCTGTTTGAGCAGCCCAACTCTATGGCAATCTCAAATTAAAACTTGTTAGCACCACGGAATAACCATTTCTAAACCCAGTGTATAGTACTTGACCTTTTACACAAAGCTTCTATCAAAATACTATTATGGCTCAGCTAAAATCTCACTTGGAAAGTGAGACATATTCAGGTTCTGCCAGAAAATGACATTTTCACTTGCACCAGGTTGATTGATGCAACGAAAATTGCTTTTAAAAACCTGCATTTACGTTTCTGAAGTGTTCTGGTGCAGAGATTTCCACCTCTCTGTTTAGACATTTTGTGCACAAAATGTCCAAACACGGGCATGTCTCTAATTCTCTGCGTCTGCTGCGTTCCCAGCTCTCATCGCTGTGGACAGGTAACACCAACACCCACCCCCTTCCCACCGCGCACCGTCAAACCCAAACTCATCCTGCAAAAGAGAAGCGATTGCAAAGAAATAAGTCTCCTCTCATCATTCTCTCCTCCACCTTCTTGTGGTATGAACCACACAGACATCCATCCTCCGAGGGAACTACTTTGTGTTCACAAGAACACGCGAGGCTGAAGCACCAGCCAGAGACAACAGCACCAGCTAGTGCAATTATCAGAAAAAATATGAGCCCCAAAATGAGATGCATCACTACCTTCCCCCCCACACACAGCATCATTTGCACATATATTTATCCTTAACACAACACTTATAAATGTACCATTGATTCCTCTTTTTACTATTACTTTTTTTGTTATTATTATCCCTAAGTGCTGGCGGGCAGGCTGTTTACATCAAACACTCCAAATCACAGCTTAGAAGAAGTTTAGAGCTCCCTGAAGGTGATTTGATGCAGGTTGTGTTTACTGTTGGAGAAAGAAAAAACAAAAAAAAAAGCAATGAAACGCATCTGGGTTTCTTTTCCCTCCTTTTTACCTTGCCCTTGTCAAAGTAATGGATAATTTCTTGATACAGCTGGTCTTTCAGCTGTCCTTGAGTAGCTGCCTGGTATCCATCCCGCTGGGTAAGGTGCGCTGCACATGCTTCTTCCGACCACTAAGCACGGGAAAAGAGAAGGGAAAAACAAAAGCACATCAAAAGTGATGAAACGTGGCAGCAAAATCAGGCTAACTACAGTTTGATTTTAAACAGTGATCCCACAACCAATGCAAGAACCAAGCCTCTACTGCAGTTGTGGCATTTGATTCCTTGGGCACAAGGACCATTTCTCTGGATGCTGTATAATTAGAGGCTAATTACCCCTAACAGCTCAAAGGGGTCAGCTCACAATAACTCCAGAAATCCCTGCTGGCTCCCTGCCCACGCAGAGCCTTCCTGCACAATGAAGGTGAATTTCTCCAAAGTCCTAAGTCTTGACCCAAACAAGGTCCCATTAAAATCCATGTGACGAAACATTTGCCCGTGCCGCGCGTCACTGAAAAAGCCGTGCCAGAAAAATCCAGGGACACTCCCTGGCTTCAGGCTGACACACGGTGATCCCGAAGCTCCAGGTTTTTTGCTGCTCCTTCAGAAGCAAAACTGAGCTCCACTGTCTGCTGCTAACTCATGGCAATGACAGGATATTACTTTAGATAGATCAATATCCAGTTATCATAAAGTATTTCCTAATGATAACATATGTTTAGTTACAAATAAACTTGTGAGCCTCTCCTGAGTTTTGAGAAGCCAGGATAAATACTACCCTCATGTTTCTTGTCTTCTATTGATTTGCATTATAGCAGAATAAAACTGGATTTATTTTGGATATTTATTTCCAGTAAATAAAAGGAGTAAATAAAGGTACTCATCCAGTGCCTCAAGACACACTGTGAGAAAGCAAGACTAGATAAACTCTACTTTAAGGTCACACAAAGCATATCGATTAAAGCACTCGGGGCCTAACGGGTAAAAGTCAAGATGACATTTTATGGCACTTCTCATTCCATCATCTTCGAGCGAGTGCAGCACCTAGAGAAGGGGAGGCTTCATCCTGTCTACAAGGCTCACTGAGGCGAGGCGTGCAGAGCAAGGATTATGCAGTTTGTCAGTCCTGGTTGACTTCCCCAGCGGCGACGGCAGCGAGTTTTCTGCTCGTGGAGCAGCCAGCTCCTCACTGCAGCTCCTTCCCGCGGGCTACCCCGAACGTGCAGCTCCCCGCTGCCCTGCCCTTAGTAACATTATAATATTAGCAATATTCTTATGGTGCTTTTAGATCCAGACATATCTTGCTGATATTTCCTTTGTGTTGCAATCCTCATTTTTAAAACAGCAAATCCATGTCAACATGTCTTAATCTAAGCAACTGAGGTAGGATTTGCCTCATATTTAGTCCTACTACATTTTCAATGCAGTTTACGCAATGTTGAAGTAAAATAATTCTCAGTGCATCCTTTCAAGGTATTTCATTCTACTCCTTCCACTGCAACTTTTCAAAATAGATTTTTTAATGCTAATGTTTCTCCTGAGATTGCTTAGAATAAATCAAAGATTGCAAAGAATCTTTTGCTGCACAGAATGGGACAGGTTCCCTTGAAGGGAAGAAGCACCGATAGCAAAAATTCTGTGAGAGGACATAGGGCTTGCAAGGCACGTGCCACTGGCATAAGAAGAGCTGAAAGGGAAGACGTGGCTCTTGGTGCCTCTCTTTGGGGGTCTCTGCCCATCTTTGAGCAGGGGGCTAAAACAAATGCTTCAGAAAACACCAATCCTCACAAAATTTAGATTTCTACTTTTCCTTCAATTGCCTTTTTAAAGCCCAGCTGTATAACTTGCTGCTGCTAATTTAGCAGCGATGTCGCTGTATTGAAGATGAGATTTCAAGACAAAAGGTCTGCTATTAAGCCCCGCTGAAGTGCTCCTCAGTGCGGGGGACGTGGTCGTCGCGCGCCAGGATCCCTGGCACAGTTAGTGAACCAGCTGCGTGCCTTACGGAACTCCACAAGTTCCGTAATTACGGAATTCCCCAAGCAATTTCAGTGAAATTCCTGCAGGAGCAGACATGGCTGGTTTGCAATACACAGTGCTACCAGCTCAAGTGCTTTATTCAGCTAGACCATGTATATGACCCAAATCAAAACTAAATTTACAGTTCCCTAACAGCACCTAAGGGCCATCTGCAGCTCACTTGCACTTCTGCAAAAGCAATTGGTGGGCAGCGAGCTTACTGCAATACATGCTTAGATGTTCCAGGATTACATAATTGTACCATTTAAAAGTAATTTGCATCACAGTCAGTGTTGTAACTTAACCTGTGGTCTCTCCTTGATTGCGCTGCTGCTCATTTTAGATGAAGATCAGCAACCCGTGCTCTGATACACTAATGACAGCGGGCTGACTTCTGCCTCAGCACATTTTCAGCGAGCAATAATATGCAACGTGGAAGTAAATAAGCAAAGGACAGAGTTAATCAGGCCCAGGACTGAAGGAGCAATTCTGCTCCCACGCCGTGATCTGAGACCTTGCCACGTGTCTGGGTGCTCACCTTGAGCAGCTTGGCGTGCAGGAGCAGCGTGTAGGCAGCCTCGGTGTAGTTGTCACACTCCTTGTGCAGGTCGCAGAGCTTGTACAAATACCTACGAGTAACACAAGCACTGCTGCTTAACAGGGAACAAAACAGCCTGCTTGGGAGATCACAAAAGTTAAATTCTATGCTCACATAGTTAAAATATCTGGGAGTATTTAAAGCTCCTACTTTGGTATTTTAGACAAACTTTCAGGATCATTTATGTTCCTATTAAGGATTTTTTTTCCAAGACTTATAAATGACTTGTGAACAACAAATCCAAAGACAATTTCACTTAAGTACTATTTTTTTAGTTATTCATATCTGGATAGAGAGCCAGGTCCTGTGCCTTAACTTCAGTATTACCACACCCCTGGATGGGGATGCTCTTCAATTGTTTTTCTTTTTTCCCCCAAAGTTTAGATGCATCTGGGGAAGAATTCATGAATAACATTTAGATATCAAAAATAGCAGTAAAAACACAAGCGTCATCCTTTTAGCACAACAGGCTAGTCAATTTTAAGCCAAGTAAAAATAGAGTTACCCTGAGGTTTGCAAAAAACATGACAAAGTGTTACCATTTTTACTTTAGATGACAAATCGAACTTGAAAAGCTCCTAAAAGTTTTAAATTTAAAGTATCAGTCATCATATTGATAGTCCTTGTTTTCCCCTCCAGCAGGCGTATGTTTTATAAGTCACCAGCATGTAAAATTATTTCTTTCTTAGTTTTACTTATTTTCTTCATAAAAGCATCATAATAAAATTGAAGTAGTTAGAAAAGGGATATGAAAAATAACAACAACAAAAAAGAAGACAAAAACATCAAACTGATGAGTCTAAACTGCTCACGAACAGCTCATGGTTCTCAGTGAACTCAGGTTATGTAAAGTCCAAAACAGGTAGGGTTTTTGTTACATTTTCCCCACCAGTCCCAAAATGACTGCCTAATAGAAACAGAATTTTCTCCAATTACACTACAGTAAGTCAGTGGTCATGTTTACAAACCTTATGTACATTTCTTCTCTCTCAATCTCTTTGTAGAAATTCTGAAATACAAAATAATTTTGTTACAAAGCCTTTGATTTTGCAGTCAGAAATGTATACAGAACATGCTCCAAATTAAAAATTCATAATTGCATAACATCAACCTCAAAAAGGCAAAACAAAATTTGCCTCTAGTGCTAGAACACGAGTTATTTAACTTACAAAACCTAATGCTGTGATGATGTAGCATGTTAGGGCTTATGTTTCATTGCAAAGGTTAAGAATTTGCAAGCAGAGTGTTGCTAGAAATTGCTGCTGGCGTTTGGAAGTCACACATCATTACCCACTTCCAACTGAAATTTGGTAACGTACAAAACCATAACTTTTAAGTAACTGTTGTACTATGGATTTAAAACTCTAAACCTTACTTGAGCAATACAAAATCTGCTCTTGGATTCTAATATTTTCTTTGGAAATAGAAAGTGAGAATAAATGTTATTTATCTGGTTTCGTATGCCACACATCATCATCACTTGCCCCGAAGACATGTCTGAATGCTGCTGGTCTTGAGATAAACTAGTTAACACTGCGAATTTTCCAAACACAGGATATGATAAATTTGGCAAGATATTGAAGGCATTTCTGAATCTAATTTAAAGTTTGCGTTGAAAAGTTAAACTACAGCTAAGAGAACAAAACGGACAGAAATATTTTCTTCACTGAATAAATCTAATACCAGTGAATAAATTTAGGATCAGTGAATATCCTTCGCTGATAAATTTAAATAGCAAATAAATCAGTCAGAGTAGCCACTAACACATGAGTAAGTCCAATACAGAACTGTTCCCATCCAAGAGAGCTGCAGTAATGTGATCAACACTGTGTATCAACCCAACCAGACCACACTCACCTGTGTGTGAGTCTACTCTGGGGTGTTGTATTATTATTTTGGGGGATCGTCTTTTTTATTTATTTTATTTTTTTGGAATTAGGAGAGATTTCTGAGATTTCTGAGCTTGGGGGTATAACAGTATAGAACTATTTTATTCTAAGTGCCTCTTTTTTTTTTAACATTTAATTTGCATTACTAAAATTTGCAGTTCATTTTGCACTATGAAAATCTTCTATTCCCTAAAAAAGAATCCCTGCAACGTGCGTCCTGTGAGGAAAAACTCATCTTCTTAAAAAGAGAAAAATAGGGCTATGTTTTAAAATTGGACGTAGCTAAAAGGCAGGTTTGAGCCGAGGGGCTGGGCCCCTCTCCGCGCTCACCAGCACGTTGACGGTGCAGCTCATGCGGTTCTCCTTGTTCTCGTCGTGCATGATGGTCCGGTAGTCCAAGAGCCTCTCCATCAAGCGGACGACAAGTTTCACGAAAGTCTCCCCACTTTTTGCAAGGTACTTGTGCTTCCTGCAGTGCTCCAAGAGACTAGGAGACAATTACCCACGCCTTGTTAATCACACGCAGGGAAAAGAGCTCGACTCAGGTGCAATTCTAAATATTGTGCATCATTAACAGATTTTAATTATTTCTGGGCTGCAAAGTTCATTGTAGTCTAATTGTGCTCTCTCTCGCCTGACTTTACGGTGACATAAATCTCGCTGCTGATCAACACTTACATTTTGTCGAATAACACTTTGTACTGCTCATCTCCTCGGCCTCCTTCCACTTCGTGATCCAGTTTGGTGATGATCTCATTTTCAAACTACAATTAAACAAAGCAAGCGTAAATGATCAGATGGCAAACATTTCACATTATCACTGTGGCCTAAACGGTTTGCAGATCGGTTGGGCATCTCGGAGAGGCGTTTCAAAGCCTGACTGCCTTTAAGAGTTTGCAGTCTCTGATATTAGACTTTTATCCGCTGTGATCTACTGCCCTACAAGGATCTTTCATTGCGGAGATCATCGGTCTTGTTGTTAAACGATGCATAAATATTTGCATTAGGAAAAACTAAATCAGGAGAGAAATGACAAGAACGAGAGCAGCAAAGCAGTAGACACAAAGCAGGGCAATCCAGCAGGGCAATAATGACAACAGCAACAAAAGCCAAGTAAAGAAGTGCTCGCAAAGCTCAGTTTCTGGTAGCTGTATCCCCTGGGGCTGCTCAGCCAGCTGCACCTTTCAGCCCTGACCGCGCTCCTCAGTGCCGGGACCCGGCTCGTCCTGCCACACAGCCCAGCAAGCTGTCCGTAAGTCACTGCAGAGGGGAAGGAAAGTGGCTCCAACAGCTTAAGAGCAACATTTTTATTTAGGCAATAAGACTGCAATCTGAAGTGGGCATGCAAATGTATTTTAAATGTAAACTGAGTAAATTGTTGGGCTTTTAATGAGCACAGAGGGTGTTGCCCGTTGCTGCTGCCCTGCCCAGGGCCCGTGACGCATCGGGAGGAAGGGATGGACAGTTGGCGGCTTGATGGCCTGAAGATGCAGCTGCTCAAACCTGCCTGCAGCGGCAGAATCCCTAAGGTTGGAAGGGACCTCCAGAGATCATCTAGTCCAACTCCCTGCACACGCAGGGTCACCCAGAGCAGGGCACAGGCTGCATCCAGGCGGGTTTGGATGATCCCCAGAGAAAGAGCCTCCCTGGGGAGCCTCCACCCCAGCTGCGAGGCCTCCTTGCACTTCCTGAGGAGGCAGCAGCACACGAGCCAGTACCTGTGGCTGGCAGTGCCGCTGGGCTCTGCTCAAAACCGTGTTGTTCAGTGCGCTGTGAGGCTCTGCTGGCGCCTTTATGTCAGGCACCGCGTGAGACCACGTCTCCCTGCCACGGCGGCGCTGCCACGATGAAACTCCTCAGATAACAGGGTGCTTTTTGGCACCCCAGTTTGCAGCGCTCTGAGGCGGCGGCGTTGCCTCCACAGCCCGTCTCCACACAGCGCTCGGCTCTGCCCACACCAGCCTCTCCACCCACGGAGGCTGTGGCAGCACCTCCACCAAAGGCGACTCGCCGGGTCCTGGCTGCCACCTGCACACGGCAGGGTGACATACGGGCAGGCACCAAGAGAAAAGCTTCAAGCGGCACCGGGGAGAGAAGCATCTCGCCCACCCGGCCCCTGCTCGAGCCGCGGAGCGCCTGGCCCAGCTGAAACCCCCAGCCGGGCCCGCAGCCCCTTGGGTTAATTCTGACAAATTGAGGTAATTGTTCTATTCCCTAATAGCGCAGCTCAGGCTCTAACGTTTCATTACCGATGCCAAAATCCCCAGGCAGAGCCACAACGTTTCCGTCTCCCTCTCCAGGTCTTTGTGAGCTTTCCAGCACCCAGTCCCAGGAAGAGCCACATCATTTTCTACCTCCATAATGCAACACGGTGGGAAACTTATTTTTCTACATCACCTGAACCCAGCCAGAATTACCTTAACAAGTGAACAAAAAAAAGCCCTATGAGCTATCTCCCTCCTGCAAATTCAGAGTAAGTTGCTCCTCCCTGCAATGCCTCCTTGGTGCCATGTGGCCATGGTGCAAGCCCAGCTTGAACCTGGAATCCAAAAGCTCCAGTTTCCACTGGGCCATGGGGCAGACTGGCAAGGCAACCAAAACTCGGGCCTTAAAATGTCTCCATGCAACACTGCAAAATGCAGTACGAGAGCCCACCAAACAGCAAAGAGACATCCAGTCTGCAAAATTGCCTAATTTGGTGATGTTTGGTAAAACTGCATTGCTGAAAACAGGAACTTATATGAAGAGAGCCAGGAAACCTTAACTATCCATCACAACGTGTGCACAACCACAAAATTGACTAAATAACCAAACAACAGATATTGCATCTTTAAACAATTTTTACTGCTCTGCTTGGCCAGATTTTAAAAAATGATCCCTTTGCAGTCACATTAAAATAGGAATTCTGGAAATTTTGAATACACTTCTCTGTACCCCACCACGAACCACTGAATCATGGAAACACAGACTGGAAAAGACCTCCAGGCTCGCTTAGGCCAGGCTCCCGGCTGAAGCAAGATTATTGCCACACTATATCAGGGCAGCTCAGACTTTCTTTTAGCCAAGTGTCAAAACCTCCATGGATGGCTGATGACACAGCCTCTCTGGGCAATCTGCTCCAGTGCTGCAGCACTTTCCTTGGGAAGAAATGAATGAAAAGTGAAGTGGAATAAGATTCTTAATACAATGAACGCATTATTCAAGAAATGACAGGGAAATGAGAAAAAGAAGAATAATGCCATCCACCCCCTCGACGAAGCAAACACAAGTTGAAATATGTTTCCCATAGTACAAGGCCATGTCAAGTAAAACACTAAGGCAGTACAATAATGAAAGCAAGAAGTCACAAAACTCATGTTCTCTAATAAGGCACAGAGAGAAATGGTCTTTCGACACCGATGTGAAAAATGGCACTTGCTGCCAGCATCAGCCCTTTGGGTGATGTGTTTTTTAGAAAGCGATTGCTCATTTCAAGAGCAGCAATTAAATTTGTCATACTGGATCTTGAGCATTTTCTGGGTATCAATTTGACTCAAATTCCTATAGATCCTTTCTCAGCCCCTCTCTCTAAATGCCCTCCAACAGAGCTGGAGTTGCAGCATTTCTGTGGTTTTTAAGGACCTTTACCAACAGCTGTGCTCTTTGATCACTCTTGGTACTTATCAAGCAATTGATAAGGTCTGGATTAGCCAAATAGGTAAATACTTTTTAATATAGTTAATGTTTCTTCTGGATCTCTCCCTGGAAGTTAGCATCAGTTTATTTCTGGTCCATATAGCTGTGGTCTTCCATGGTTAGAGGATAAACAGTGCCCACAAAACCCCATAACTCCGAGCACTGCATCCAGCATCTGCTGATACTTTCTCTATAGACACTTTTTTCCTTTACTTTTTACAACAGACGGAAAAACGCCCAAGTGGGCTTGCAATTATTGTAAGAATCATATGAAATTTACCCTTACCTGAAGAACAGTCAAATTTTCAGTGCTTATGTTAGACCCAATGACGCTTGCTGAGGCCTCTTTCTGGAGGCTGGGAAAATACCTGGCACAGCCTATGTGTTCGATTCACATCTTTCCATTGACAGCGAAAGCCTGAGGAGCTTGAGAGGAAGCTTATTGGAAATTATTATCTGCTCTTCCTCACAGCTGGCTGAGGTCTCAGCTGCTCTTTGGAGTAAGTGTTTGAACGTGGGCAAGGACTGTATGAGTTACTTCCCCCGTCTGTTATGATCTCCTGCTTGGAGAAAAGGGGTTTACAAATCGATGCAAGTTATCTACCTTCATCAAGGGTCAGCTCAGCCGGTCGTTTTTGGCTTCAGATTTGTCTCCAGTATGTTCAGGCTACATTTGTAGCACTGATGGACAATTTAATCATACCTGTAGATGGTTTCCTGTTTTCAGTCCTCCAAACTGCTATAAATACGGCTAGATATGGGGCAATACTGAATTTGCCATAAAAAAAGAGTGCCAGATAACAGCTCTAGGAATTAGTTGCAATACAGAAATGGTGCACAGTTACTGTAAAACTTGTACAAAGGTTGCTATGGAACTTGGCGATCATTTCCTACAGTTTCGTCTGCTCCATTTATTATTTCCTCACAGCTTTTTAGCTGGCAAATCGATTAAGTGGCCATTTAACATCAGATGTGTTCGGAGATTACTGGCCTCACTACACTACCTCTCCTACTCGTGCTTCAGGTGGGCTGAGGGAGAAAGACATTCTCCAAAGGCCACAAAACAAGAAAAACGTCAACATTTACACTTCAGCCTTAGTGAATACCCTAAAAAGCTTATTTATTGAAATTAATTTAATTTGCACGTTCAGTAGGATTACAGAGGGGAATATGCAGCCTCACAAAACCTTGGAGAAGTCATTAACTTCTGCTCTGCCTGCCAATCTATAATGCGGGGATACAGATGCTAACACGGGGCTCAGCAGTGGTAAGAAGATTTAATAATGAATTATAGGTTGTAAAAGTTGAGAGATACTCAGATAAATTAGCTCCTACTTGTTAAGGAGAATTATATTAACCTGAAACTCATTGATAACCAACAAGAAATGATATTGCAAATAAAAATGCTGGTATTACTACCTCAATGACACTCGGATTTATTGCTGTCTGTTAGAATGGAATTAAAACTGTCTCCTCTCATTTTTTCTGGTCTTTACTCAATTACTTCTCTTCCTAGCAGATAACTAGCTAGAGGTACTTTAGTTGCATCCACTGCCTTATTTTAGTAATCATATATATTATGCACTCATTTATTACACATTCCCGTACGATTTTTGCTGTCTTTTTGGCCATGGCTCTATTCTGCACAATGGGATAGCTGTATTTGGGGCTCTCAGGGCTTTTACTCACGTCATTCCTTTTACCCCATCCAAGCTATCGGCCTCGGACACTACAGCAACCTGCGTCTCCTTAACAGCCTTCAAGCTGGAGGCAGGGATCATTTCTTCACCATCACTACTACACTAATAGGGACTATTTCTCTCAGATTTCAGTTTTTACAAGTACATTATCCAAAAAGAAATGGAGTAACATTGTGGAAGAAGGAGAATCCCTTCTCGCCTCATTCTTCATCTTATTTCGTTAATCGATTTTGCCTCTTAAAATACGCCAATTCTACTTATTATTAATACTACTAATTACCAGAGCAATTAATAGCAATCTTATGGTGCAATATCATGAGAAAAGGAAGATGTGTCCAACATTTTCCTCCTGTCTAGGACAAGTACCTCTCCCTCCTTCTCGCTTCCTCTATGGGTTATTTTGGACAAGTTCTGGCACTGATCTGGCACTGGTCTCTATGAGTAGGTTCAATTCAAAAGAAACAGAAAATCAAATGAGGAATGAGACAAGTAGAGAAAAGACAAGTTAAAGCTTGGGGTAGGCAATTAAACAAGAATATTCTGAAGAAATGGACCTAATGGAAGCAACAGGTGGACGGCCTAGGAAACAAGAACAGGAGCCCATGGCTGAATTCTGCATTTGAGCTGAATGACCATCTCATGATGGAGTGTCTCTCCTGCAGTCACCATGGGATCCACCACCACCCTGACCAGCCCTTGAACAATCAAACCAATTCTCTTTCATCACTTCTGTAGCTCTGACATATTCTCTTTGATCTGGAGGGTTTGCTAGTAAAACAGGCAAAGGAAAAAAGCAGAGCAGGGAAGGAGGTGTTTTCTTCTACAGGGAAGCTTCAGTCCCACACAGACTTCAGTATCAGATCCATGCTTTGAGGTGCAGGCTCCTTTGAAGCCTATATTAGGCTTCAAAGCACCTCAAGTGGGAGAGGACAAAACTGGCCAACTCCAGATTTTAATTCACTAGGTCTTTAATTCAGTTCAGTAAAAAACAAGAATTTATTCATCTTTATTTTTTTTTTTTTCCTCCCCTTGGGACTACATATATTGGAAGGAAAAAAAAGAAAAACATTCTGTCTCTTACTGGTTTTACCAAGCAAACCAATTCATACTGGAATTGAAACAGTGATGGGGAAAGCTGTCTATAACACAGGCCATCACAGCATTAAAGTCCTGCAAAAAAATTAAATTCCTCCCCCACACATCATGAGGTTCACACATCTGCTGGAGAAGTGGAGCCAGTTTAAACCCTTGTGAATGTGACTAATGAGGTTAGATAATTGGATTTCTGGCAGACTGGTTTAACAGTAGCCAACCATCCAATTCTCAACTTCTCTTTGAAGGCCAAGCTGGGCAGCCGTCTTGGTGGTGGCAAGTTCTGACAGAGTGCAGTGCGTTAAGACACGCTAAGCATGAGAGCCTGCCTAGGTAGTGGTGATACTTAAAAAAAAAAAAAAAAAGGTCGTTTTACATCTATTTCTGTTACTTGGAGACAGCAAGCACTGCAATTAAGACACAAGTTGTGGTCTGCAAGACAGATGATGCGGTCGACAGGGAAGCACCTGGGACTTGGAATCGATTGGCACTAAGGACCAGCTCTAACTCAACACTGCTCGGGCACCAGACACCTCCAAGTGACACCAGTGTGCGGTGCTGGTGGCAGCCTCCACACCAGGAGGCAGCTCCATCAAGCCCCTGCTCTTTGGTAGCGCCACAGCAGAGCAGGACACAGCGAAAAAAGCAGCCCAGCTTCTGTGCCTCCGTCATGCTGTGGGGTTCTCCCAGCTTAAACAACTTTCTTCTAGGTGCTATCACACCAACTTTTAGCTTTCCTAAGTTTTCTCTTTCCTTTTTTCCCTTTTCCCATTCCATTGCATGCCGCAAGGAATCCTTTTGATGGGATAAGTGATTCTCAGTGATTGACGTGCAGAGGATGTCACGTATGTCAGAAGATGTCACTCTGCTGCTGCATGGGGCTGGCCAGCTGGTTACAAAGGACACAGACGAGGCTGTGGGACTAAATGTGGGCCAAGTGACAAAGCAAGCAGCACCCCAGTGACAGCAGGCAGGGATGAAGTGACCACCTCCTATGGAAACCGGACATGTGCAGGTTGTTAGAACCTGACAGGAAGCCTCCCAGTTCCCGAGAAAACTATGGAACAGGTTCCCAGGGGAGCTAAGAAGGAGACTAGGAAAAGCCAGCAGGGATTTATCAAAGGTAAATCATATTTAACCAGCCTGTCTGCCTTTATGGTAAGACAATTTGCTTAGGAGGTGAGAAAGAGCTGTGGATTTTGGCAAGGTGTTTGAAACAGTCTCCCATGACACTGTTTCAAACACTTTGACATGCTTGAAGACAAGCTGAGAAGAAACGAACTCGGAAGACGGAATACAAAATACCCAGATAACATTCAAGACTCGGGTCAGAGGGCTCTGGATTATCCAGGGATTTCCAGAACTCCCATTCAACCCAGTCTTTCTATCATTCTGGAATTCTCTGCTGTTTCCCAACAACAATCCTCATCACTCAAGCCAAAGATTTAAAACTGCCAGCATCCTACATAACTGCATTACCTGCCAAATAGATAGATGGATTCTTTCTGTTAGACATAACGACGCGCACCAAATATACCGGACACGGGTTTACTACCTCTGTACCTGCCATATCAATGTTATATCCATAAAGAAAGCGGTTATGGTGAGATAGGGGATATAATGTTGACTATCTGCAATCCAAGACATCTCTGATTTAAGGTATTTTTCTTCTCAAAAGACAAAAAGTTACTGTTAAAATATTTTAAGACATTCATTTATTAAAATCACCCAACTATTCCACATAAAGCTGCTTTTCTTCTGTCAAGACAATATAGGGTCATAAATTTAGCTATAAAGTTACCCTGGGATTTTTCATGATCCATGTAATTGTGCAAATAAAAAATGACAAGTAACAAAGGAGAATATCTGACTGGAAAATGTTTAAGCAGCATCCCAGTGAGCATTTCAATCTCTTCAGTATCATCAGAGTCAAATATAAGAAAGAATGATTAGGCAGTAATTGGATGGAGCCAAAATACAGTTCACAACCTTTCCGTACAGCATCCAGCACTAAACAAATAAAAGTAATAAAGCTGATACCACTTTACATGTTTAAGTCACCCTGCACAGATATTCATTTATTCTGGCTACAGATTTATTACGAGCTGATTATGAATAATACTTCACAAGGAAGAGTGGAAAAGGTTAAGATTTCTCGTATGAGAAAAAAAACGCCAGTGCAAATGAACAAAAGCAACTTAAAACACGTCACACTTTATTGCAAAATGCACAAGGTCATATCCTGAATTGGTGGTAAGTTTTATAGCGCAACGGATCTACACTGATTTATACCACGAGACTACCTGACTCACAGGATTCAAAGTTTGTGCAATCTGTCTTCAAAGCACTGCTAATCCGTGCATTTTCTCAAATGAAGGAAAAGGAAAAAAGAAAAGTCTTATGAGGACCTTGCTGTGAATGTGCACGCTTAAACTCAATCCACAAGGTAATATTGCAAGGGAAACAAAGTAAAATGAACAATGTCGAGAAACTGTCACTGCTCTTGCCTTGCAAAAGTTGGATCTTGCAGGATAAGATTGTGCATGTTAATTCACAGATTTCTTTTAGCTTTTTAAAAAAAATAGAATAAAAATGCTGCCTTAGTACTTTACCTTTTAACGTGCCTTTATAGCATAAAGAAACACGGTTTCTGGTTGGGTAGCTTTTTTCTCCCTCTTCAAAATTCATAAAAATATAAATAGTATCAAAATCATAAGACACTAGAGGTGATAAATCCGTACAGGTTACTGTTTCTTTTGCTGTATTACCAGGATTTCTTTGGGTCTAATTTAACTGCGACGCAGACTCCTCTCCTGAGTCACAGTGAAAATTTAAGACACCTGCCTTTGCTCTCCTTTTGTATCGTAAAAAAGGTTCCATTTACTTCATGCAAATTTTTGCCTCCATAAGGATTTAAAATGCTCAGATGAAAACTCTATAGCCCCTCAGACTTATAGAAAATAAGCAAACCCATAATTATATTTTGGTTGAGCAAAACAAGAAATACCAAAATCCTTCCATGTCTTCCCAGAACAGTTAATCTTTCTTACAAACTCCAAATATTTGTAGCCGCCTGCTTACCATCTGGAAGCTTCGAGTTGAGTGAAATTCACACTGCATCATATCAAAGAATATTGGGATCGTAGCTTTGCGAAGCTCCGTTTCGGGGATAAGCGTCATTTCCAATATAGGTCCCACCATTTCTGGGATGAACTTGATTTTATGCTGACCTGTAAGAGGAAAAATGCATTTCAGAGTTAATGAACAGCCACTGACTTTGGAAGAAGATAATTGCTTTAAAAGCTGTATCAATAAATCCACATATAGCTCAAATATAACACTGAGTTTTTCCAGATTTGATACGACTGAAATACACGGTGCGATTTATGACTTGAGAGAGGAACTAAAGGATATACGTAAGCCTGAATTAATAAAGAGTTAGTCAATCAAAAAAAAAATCAAACTGGAACTTGCTATATTTTCCATAAACCAGCCCTATTAATGCAGTTCTACAGGATTTTCTTCTCAACATGCTTCCGGATGGGTCACGTCAGGACTGCGCCTCTTCCTCCGCGTCCACCATCCCACCCGTGTCCGTCCATCGGAATGCCAGCCCTGGACACACTTACACAGCCCCAGATAGGAAACCACCTCTTGGCCAAGTCTGCACTGACCCTTCCGGCCCTGGCTGCTGGTCTCAGTGCCGGGTCACGTTTCACGTTCAGCTTCCCAAGAAGAAACCCCATCCCGCCCTATTCTCCCCACTACGCTCTTCCACGTGGAACAAAAATTAAATGTTAAAGGGAACATGGAACTTGATAAATATTTTAAAAGCACCTAGTTACTCTTCATATCATCACTCTTTACATAAAACTTCATATATATTTTAAAGCACCTAGTTACTCTTCATATTATTGGCAGGAAGTGTAGAGAACTCCAAATACTCCTTTCGCAAGGTATCTGTAAGATTTGTGAAACACAGGCAGATTCACATATGGAAGATAATAGAGAAGTCCAGCGTATTACAATCATGTTAACTCCGCAACACTGTGGATGCCATCTGATTTTTGCAATGAAAAATTGAAGATAAAGTCAAAGAAACCTGTACTGAGTTTTAACACACACAACTGGGGAAGCTCCTCACGCAGGTAACTGCAGATATTTACAAGGAAGTGCACCAGGGAGTAAGTTAATGCTCCATTGCTGCGGTTCAGATCAGACTTCTCCAGAGCTGAGCTCATTGAAGAAGCCTTCAGCTTCCTCCATTATAAGACTTTTGTTTCCCAGTGCTTTATGAGAGGAAAAAAGGTATTTTACTTCATCCATAGTCCACTAAACGAGCAAGACTACTAAGGTACAAACTATGCAAGTATTTAATTAGCCATTCATTTTCACCAGGAATAACGGATACCTGACCAAATGTAATAAAGAAATTCTTTACTAACAGATTTTTTTTTTTTGCAGATATAATTTAAATTGCTTGATTTGGCAGACATCAGAAACCTATTAGCAGGTTCGCAGTGCTTCTTGGTGAGGAACACCAAGAGCGGGCAGGAAAGCTTTATTTCTGCCTTTCATCTAAGTATTATTACACTGGGCCTCTCAGGTGACAGTTTTCTTGTATCGCGCCTGAGAAGTGTCAGAGCCAATATTTCAGAAAACAAATGACAGTGACAAAAGATACTCGTCGGGCACAAATTCAATGTCATAAAGTTCCCTAGGTGTCACAATGGGTTTTTCATTGCTCCCGGCACAGGGATTCCCACCAAAAGGTAAATAAGACCTTTTGAGGTTTAGACGTGGAAAGCAAGTGAATGTAAACTTTTAAACTGGCCCTTATAGTCCTTGCTGAGAAAGGAAACGGCCGGATATCTCGCGGAATGACAGAATTGTGCCTCGGAGGGAGAGCTGTTGGTTGGCCCGGTGGGAGCCGAGCCAGGATGCTGGCGGGAGCTGAGGGATCCGCAGCAGGGTCGGTTTGTGGCCACGCGGGACCCGGTCTGTAGGAGCCTCCAACAGCGTCTCTATAACGGGACTGCCTGAGCTCAGCCCTGCTGTCACCCCAGCCTGGCTGCACGCAGCGGCGCCGTCTTGCAGGTAACCACCAGCAGAGCCTCTACATCCGCGAGGACGGAGCGCGTTTCGGGATACGAGATTCAGGAGGGCTCGGGGCGATAGATGTGTGAGGGTTATTAGCAGAAATATTAAATTCCCTCGAACACTGCAGGGCGTAGGGTCCCTGGCCGGCGTTTGGAACCCGTCCAGCTCCTCGCTTCACGCCCAGGGTGCGTGGGCAGCTCCCGGCAGGTTTCAGCAGCCCCGGCACACGCGACGCCGGGGCCACAAGCTGCTCGCAGCGGCTCTGCCCCTGCCGCGAAGCACCGTGTCCCGCAGAGCGGTTTCCAGGGCCATTTCCCACGTCGGGACTTTCTCCGGAGCGGGGCTGAGGGCAGCAGGGGCTGGCGGTGGCTATGGGAAGGCGAAGCAGGCTAAACCAGGCTGGGTTTCTCCTCCTCTGCGCGTGCAGCGCCGCGATGACGGGAGCTGTGGCCACCTTGTGCCATGGGATAAACCCGGCGCGCAGCCCTGCCCTCCTGCTGCGGCGCGGGGACTCCCACGCGCCGACACGTCTGCAAGGAAGGCAGGAATCTCTTCCCAGCTCCGCAGTAGCTGCTTCCACAGCTCCATGCACAGCAGCAGCTCATGAATATGCAGAAGCTGCTCTTTGTATTGGCTTCTGCCTTGCCAGGAGATGCACTGCTATAAAACGCTCACAGAACAGTACTGAATTTCATTAGTTGAACCAAAATCAAGACATTTATTTAATAGCTTGCATAATTTTCCTTTTCCATGTTCTCTTATTTTTTGAGCCCTAAAAATCCACTGAATAATTTGCTAGTAACTTCACATCTCGCTTGGGTCAGCTCTACGCATGCAGGACTAACTCAGAGCATGTTATTTGCAATGATTTCTATTCATATTATGCTCAAGGTTTAGGTCTATTTTAAATCCTGGCTTTCCCTCCACCACAGTTAACACCTCTGTCCATGCACCTTTTCTGACGTCAAGTACCTGGAGTGAACTGCTGGGCCTGTGGCAGCTTCCCTGCACGAGAGCAGCAACTATTTTAATTATCTTGAGGAATTTTACTTTCCTGCTGCTTCAGATGTCGAGAGTAAAAGCAGTATTTTTTTCTCCTTCTCTGCTTTATCAAGGATACTATTTTTGATGCAATTATGATTTCTTCACCATGTATCTGTTTTAGCCATTGAAAACTGCTTTGCATGAACCAGTGCCAGTTATTTTTATAACTTTCAGCAAACAACAGTTTAGATAGAGTTATAAATGAAGTTGGATCATATATTAAAGTTCTGGTTGTGATATGGCAGGAAAAAAAGCCAACAAAACCAGCATATATTGCCTGCTTTCCATGATAAGTGGCAGCCATGCCTTGTTCTTGACTGGAGAGTTTAAACTAGGCACATATAATATGTTAATCATGGTACTTGAGAGCAAAAATTAATGAGATAAACCAATATTTTTGCAGGCTTATCCATAGCCTTTAGCACATAAATCAAAAGTCAAAGTTAGTTGGCTTCATCATATTTTGTGCACAATGACAGACAGTCAAAAAATCATAGGCTCAGGCATACACGAGAGTTATAGCTTTTCACTTCTGATTTTGTTTCTGAGTATATACATTAATAGTTTGACTAATGTAGTGAAGCTTCTGAGATAAAAGGCGTCAAGCAGAGCAGAGGCAACGCAGCTCGGGAGCCTTCCTTAATTGATGCTGTGACATGCGTGAGATTGATGAAGAGCCACGAGTAAAACACCATCAGTGTTGGCTGCCTGGGCTCCCAAGAAGGGGAGGAAAAAAAACGCTTTTCTTCACGAAAAGCAGAACGGCTTTATTAGGATGGGGCCCACTCTGTTGTTTCCCTTTCCTTCAATTTTTTGGGGGAGAGCAGCAATTTACTCATTCCCTCCACATGGGAAATCAGAGTTCCCACCTGTGCGTGCTGCAGACTCGCAGGCAGCAGAGCTGGAGGAGGTGAAGAAGTCACCAACCTGGATAACCTGAGCTTGCAAAGACCTGCTGCCTGGGGCAAAGCAGCTCTTTGATCTGCTCCATCAAATATAGATGGCCTTCGTGAAGGCCCAATCCCCCCTTCCATACCAATCAATTCAAGCCTGCACAAAACTCCAGCTAAAATGATTGTTATCTCCATGTAAAACAATTAATTAAGTTGTTCAACAGCAGCCAGTGACAGTAGCAACTATCTTGATGACTCCACGGTCACCAGGCGGAGTTAAATAATCTCATGTAGAAACAGCTACATGCTTGCCGAGGTATAAAAAACCATTTCCAGATTGGGTTCAGCAAATCCTTGGAAAAGCAGAGGAGGTTGCCAGGGAAATTAGTAAAATGACACATAAGTAGATAACTGCAAGCTTAGAGCAGCGAGAGAGTTAGCTAATCACTGTGGAAGAGGGTGCCAGGGTTGGGAGCCTGCTGACCCCACGTCAGGCAGGATGCTGAATTTATTATCTGTCTGTCAAGTCATATATTGCTGTGTGCTGTGCTTTAATCTGCTCTCCTGACACTTACTCATGAAAGAAACTTCTAATAAAAAGTGAATTCAGCAGCTCTCGGAAGGCTTTTCTCATCATTACGGCAGGGTGGATGCAAACTCTGGGATATCAAGTAAGGAAGGATCTTGCATTCCCTTCTCCATAGGCTGAATTTTTATAAGTTTCAGAACAACAGTTCAGCTACAGTTACAAATGAAGTTGGAAAAATGTATTTATTCCTGATAATTTAAGGAAATTTTGATAAAACACTGAACAGCTTAAGTGTCTCCACTGCTAAGCTCAGGAAAATGAAATCTGGCAGGTGAGTACATTCAGGTCACAGCAAATATTCAGTTTTTCTCATAAAAACCTATCCACGTACAGCTAAGTTACAGCTACAGCCCATGCACTGAGCTGCAACCGCAGATACACACAACTTATCTAGGAACTTCAGGCACGTCCTCGTTTCCCTTCTTGCCCGATCTTCCCCAGCCTTTCCAATACAAACAAAACTGAAATATCAGATGTCGAAAAGTTCCCAGGCCACTTTCTTTATACTCCTCAGACCCAATATTTTGCTACTCTCCTACCAACAGCTTGCAAGAATCTGTGTGTGCGCACGTGCTCACAGAGACAAAACAAAACAAAATGTCATAAGGCCATAAACAAGACATAAATAATAAAATGCCATAATAAATCCATAAAATTATGGGAGATCCATGACTTGGCTGCAGGAATGCATCTGCCCAGGCAGTGAAATAAGCTTGCATGGGAGGTGTTTTTTTCTTAAATCAACTGCATCTAAATGCCTCTGGGAACCTTACTGTACTTCCAGAGACAAAAAATGTTTAATTCATCTATAATGTTTTTAACCTCCACACTGAAATCACGTTGAGCACTGAGCGCTGCGGCCACTTACCCAGATTGTACCACATGTCCCTGATCTCGAAGCCAATCTGCCTTCTCATGTCACCGTATCTTACAGAAAAACAAAAACATAAGGAAGAATTAATCACACATTAGGAAACAAACCCCTTTTCCTTCCCAAACATTGAACACCGCACAGCCCCGCTCCCCGGCACAGGGAGACGCTCGGGTGTTTTGCAGAGAGGCAAAGCCGCGGCCGCAGGGAGCAGCGGCTGTATTGCAAGTGGCAGCAACCTGGAAGGGAGCACAACACGGGTGCCATGGCCCAAGACACATTTTATTTTTATACACACTCTTAGCAAGGTGTTGTGCTAGCAAAGAGCAGGAGAAACACCTTGTGACAGCTGGTGCCCTGATGCCACCAGTGCAAACTCCTAAACGTTTCCTAAACTGCAGACCATGCAGAATTTGTGTCTGTAACTGGACAAGGACCTTAACAAACTTCAAGAATACAGGCAAAATACAGGCAAAATATTTACATCTTAAAATAGTTACTTCAATGATAAAATTTGCAAATTGAAAATATCTGGCAGCTTGGGAGACTGTTAGGAGATACTTCAGAGATGCACTGACGTTACTATGGGTTAAATAGATTCTTCTGCATCATTAAACATCTGCTATTAACTAATATTTATACACAACGGTTAGTGAAAATTACAAATTACAATAAGTACATTTTAAAGTATTAAATGCTAGAAGCATTAATTGAAATACAACCTTTAGGAGGAGGGTGAGGATGATGTAAGAGTAAGTGAATATTTACACAGCTTTGGCAGAAAGCTGACAGCGGTTTCACACCCCACTGAAAGCCAGTGCTCCAAGAGTGCACATTTATTTTATTGCATTCTGTACACTTATTGCCTTAGAAATTACCCCCAAACACAACTAAACTGAAATAATAATTTGTAAAATTATTTTGAGGGTTATGTAATTCAGCCAACTTCATTAAGTACCATCTCCAAATGACTTGTTTGTTCATAATATCCATGAGAACCACCCGTTGATTTCTTGCATTTCTTCAACACCGTGCAGTTTTATATAAAGACAATCCAACTTTTCATTTCTGTCCAAAGAACAATCAGCTCACACAAATGTATGGCCAGGGCCCCGCAACAGCCAGTTTTGATCCACCTCTGCTCCGAAGGGTGGACTGAAGCTCTATGACTTTAAGTGTCCTTCCTACTCCGAGCCACCACACGAGGGGACATCGCTGCCATCGTGCACAAAAGCATTTTGCTCTACGCATTCTGCACCTAATGACACGGAATTCACTTGCCTTTTACACCTTGATTTCCTTCCACAAACGTGCGACTTTAATGTTATTTAGGGGCTTTATAACCCAAGTGCAGAAGCCTGACCTGTGCTTGAGGTACAGTATCTCGATCTCCAGTATAAGAGGGACGTGGAGCTTCTAGAGAGGGTCCAGCGGAGGGCAAAAAAGATGATTAAGGGACTGAAGTATCTCTTGTATGACAAGAGACTGAGTTGGGCCTGTTTAGCCTGGAGAAGAGGAGGCTGAGAGGGGATCTGATTAACATGTAATGAAGGGTGAATGTAGGGAGGAGGGGGCCAAGCTCTTCTCAGTGGCGGCCAGTGACAGGACAAGGGGCAATGGGTGCAAGTTGAAACACAGGAGGTTCCATCTCCATGTGAGGAAGAACTTCACTGTGAGGGTGCCCGAGCCCTGGCCCAGGCTGGCTGGGGACACTCCTGCTCTGCAGATCTTCCCAACCCTCCTGGACGTGACCAGGTACCCTGTGCTCTGGGTGTCTCTGCTAGAGCAGGGGCTGGACTGGATGATCTCTAGAGCTCCCTTCCAGCCTCAACCATTCTGGGATTCTGTGAGCACACGCGGAACGAGAGTGGAACAAGCACAAAGCTCAAGTGTTGTTTGAAACAACGGTTTCGTAATGTGTTAATACTTCTGAAGTCTTGACTTTGTGAACATCCTGCAGTATAAAATACTATCTTCAGCAGTAATGAATCGTGTAATTTAGGTCTTGATTTGAGGGTAGAAACACATGCAATACTTGATTCGTGTTTTTAAAACCAACCTTTCATTATACCCTGATTGCATCTCAATTTGAATGGGTTTAACTATGAAATTAGACTAAAATTATGCTAATAGACCTCTAGCTTTTGTCCATGATTTAGAAGACGAATAGGACTTACTTGTTAAGTATTTTTGCTCTTTTAGCACTTGAAAAATTCTCCAGTTGTAAAGATTCTTGTGTGAGAAAAGCAACCGCCAGGTGAAAGTAGTTGTTCCAAAGCTGAAAAGCCCCAAAATGACAAGAATAGGTACCGTTAATTTTCTGAAATGTTTTTTTTCTGCACAGCTACAAAACAGCTTGGAAGCATCTAACTTCAGCACATAAATATTTAATGGCAAAACAGCAAACACCACGGAAAAACTGCTTCCTGAGAAACACTCCGCGTGCGTCTCCTCGAGCGTCTTTCCCAGGAAACACTTCCCAACCACAAAAACCTAACCGTGCTTTGATGATTCAGGCACGCATATCAGCGTGAGGGTTTTTCTATTTGACACGATATCTATACTTTACATACGAACACCATTTAACATTAGGTATACATTAGCTAATTTTCCTGACAGGACCTGCTGTAAGCCACGGATGGGATGGTGCTGTTTTGCAGGATGAGATCCACAAGATGCTCAAGGGATACACGTCTGACTTGAGCTTCCTACGACTTCACCCAGCCTTTGTGCATGAGGAAGAGGTGAGCGCTGAATTACACACAGGACAAAATCACAGACTGGGGGCAGAAACGTATTGGGATATTAACACGAAGAAACTGCTTGGTGTTTTTTCTTACCTGCAACTCGAAGTTGGCCTGATCGAGGAATTTTTTGTTCAGCATGTCTGCATACTGGTTAATGGCTCGCAGGAAGACTCTGCAAGAGAGAAGGACCTGATGACTCCTCCGGCCTCCCCGCTCTGCCCAGGGAGCGGAGCCGCCCGCACCCTGCGCTCCTCAAGGGGCTCCTCCTCTAAGATAACCAAAAGATCTTTAAAAATGCAGTTTATTAGCAAAATAGGGTGAATCATTTTAAGTTTCAGCACCTTAATGTTATATATAACCATACTCTGAAACTGCCTGAGTTTAATTTGCAGATCAAGTGAAATGCAATTTTAAGCACTTAGGAGCCAGACACCGCTTTACTTATGGCACAATAACATACAATAATGCTACCGATGAACAATGCTTTGAAGCTTGTCCTATGCTGTACTTCTAAAATGTTAATTTAGTCCCCAGTATAGTTTATTGCTCTGCTAAAAGGGACACTTCCTAAATTACAATAGGAGCTGGCTTGACAAGCCTGAAAAATAAAGCCAAGTGGTATAGCATAAGTAGGTCACTACATATTCATGGTGTTGAAAAGTAAACATATTATTCTCGAGTATCCTAATCTCCATTTTTCAAAATAAACACTGGATTCCTCCTGGAAACTTGAATTTTTCGCTCTGCAAGTGGCAGGTGAGGTGCAGCCGGCAGAGCGGGCTTTGCATGCAGCCCGGCCCTGGGACAGATTCAGGTCCCCTCCCGGCACATATACATGTTATATACACACATATATATGTACACAGATGCATGTTGCTGTTCACACATGCACACTTTACAGCACCACTCGTTATGCTGAAGCTCTCCCACGTGAGCAGGTGCTGCAGCCGCGCACGTCCCTTCCCGCGCGCTGCTCGCAGGGGCTGTGCAGTGCAGACATCTGCAAACAGCTTCGTTAAGAGATGTGACAAACGAGATGAATTCAGCACTGACAACAACATGCTGCAGACATCTGTATTGTAAATCCATGACTCAATTACTGAGCTGTAGCATACACCAAGATGGAAGCTGGAGTTATCCACGTAGTCAGAATATCAACAATTTGATATTTAGAACTCCTTCCTGTTTTGTGTTCCTAAAACGCAGTAATACCATGAGATAGTAACTCAACGTGGCAGGAAGGAGTAGCTCATGCACCTTGCCTTATGAAGATAAAATCAGTTCTAACACAGGGAGGATTATGCCTACAATTTAATTATGTTGCCTCAAGATATCACTGTAACGCAGTCAATCTGCTCCATCTAATTAAGCCTTGGAACAATCTCATTACTTTACATAACATTATTTTCTTTAAGTTGTAACTCTCCTTTTTTCCCCCCTATATTAATTCTAGTGAATACAAACAAAGAGGAAATGTGGAATCCACCGTACATGGCACCTGCAAAATACCGAGGCACAAAATATCCATGGAAAAGCAGCTGGAAAACAGCAGCACCGGCCACCTCTGCCCCACGAGGCACCCAGGGGCACTGGCTGCTTTAGTGTGAGAGCTCATCCCAATTCCCTGCAAAGCAATATCCAAAGGGAGGAGGCACAGATTTGCAACTTGAAGTGTTAATTAAAAGTGTGCTAAAAATGTCGATTTCAAATCAAAACAAAATTAAAGTCAACAGAAAACATGCAAATCTTGATAATTGTTTTCTGGTGAAGGTGATACTTAAATAGAAATACTTGAATAATATTAATTTAGGTTTTATTTTTAGATGTTGGTTTAGGATAAAACTAACTGAATTGCTATAAAAAATATCATTTGGTTTGATCACAAACTGAGCTTGCTGCAATCACATCTGCTATGTGATATATGAACATCGAGATTTACTCCTTGATTTTATTATTAGAACAAATGCTCCTTGGAAGTGAATATTAAGAAGATGCATGAGGCTATTAACATGAAGAGCCAGCAAGCTGTAGTGGGTGGAAATGCTTCATCGCCGCAGGGCTCCTCCTCTACCTCCCTGTAAAACTGGCGCCACTTTATGGCCTGACCAGCAGAAGCCCTGGGCTGGTCCTGCCCAAATGCAGGTTCTGTCATGTTGTGACCAGGGACTATCACACGTGAGCACCTTTAGGGTCCTACAATGCCCCAGGAGGTGACAGCACCCAAAGATTATGTCAATATCCTGCTAATAATCTGGGAGAAAAAACTGTTCTGCTCCTCAAGGAGCCCTCCGGAGAAGGTGATCTCCAGGCTTAGGCTGTTGGAGACACTATTAGTCACCCGCTCTCTGCTCCTTCTCTTGTGATAGTGCCAGGAGGAGGAGTGATAAAAACAAGAAAACAACAAGATAAGCCACGTTTGAGCTGCCCAAGAGCCGTAGGCATGGGCTGGGAATAAAGTGCTGTTGTGCAAGTTCTGTTTTGATTAATGAAGGCACCCATTGCTGAGCGACAGCGCTGGCCATAACAGTTAAACGTTGAAAAACAGAAGTTTGGTGGAGTCAATCGCAATGTAGCCACATCACGTAGAGCAAGAAACCCTAATGCTAACATATTGCGAGAGAAATGCCAGACAAAAGACTTTATCAGCCCAATTAAAAGAAGGAAATTAACCTTTCCTAAGATGTTAATCGAATAGAAGGAGTGTAATTACAGAAGAAAATCACTTCAGGATACAGTAAGGAAAGAAAAGCCATTGTTAAAGGGCATAAATATCTACCAAACAACAAAATTAATTAATGACCTAGTGAGCACGGGGTAGATAACCACAGAGTTGGGTCCCAAACCTACCAGCTACTTTGGGGTGTCTTCTCTTATAGCTAGAACACAGGTCCTGTGAGGAAGGCACCATCCTTTTTTTCTGCTTTAGGCAGCTGCAGGGAGGCTCTAGTCCATCAGGAAGGTCTCCATAGCCCCATGGGGTGACCCAGCCATGTGCTTAGACAACGTGCCATAAAATAATGCAAAATTCAACATTTTGATCCCATAATTTCACCTTTGCAGAGAGGCCCATTCTCCTAAAAGCAACCTCACTGAATCCTGGAGGTTGTTCCAATGTTTCACAAAGAAGAATCTAGACTTCAAAGGGCAGTAATGAACAACAAAGAGACAAGGGGATCCCATTTCCAAGTCTGGCAGCAACACCAGGACCAAATGTCTCATCCATTCTCTCTCATGTATAGTCCTGTTTGCCTTCATTCTCCCTAATAGCTAATCAGGTGCAAAAACATTTGTTTGTAGAAATATTCTGCAGAGAGACCCTCCGTAAGGAGAAACATTCTCAGGGCGGGTTCTTTTTTCTACCTTATGTTGTTAGCTCTAATATACAGGGAAGATGGTTTACACAACATGTAGTTATGTAGGGTGCTTAGAAGAAGGAAATATGAAAGTGTTTTTCTCCTGAAAAAAATATCAAAAAAAAGAAACAGGTGAAAAAAGAGACAAGACAAGGAAAAAGACAGAAAGGCCCTAATGACAGAATGATGATCTAAACAAGAGTATACAGAAACAGCTTAAAATAATGCAGGTTTAACAGGCAATACAGCAAAAGGGAAGGATTGGGAGTGAGGCTACACTGGCACTTTTATGATTTAATTCAGATGGAAGGATAATGACGGCTTTATTACCGCTCAGGAGCCTCCTGCACATCACCATTCCCTGCATGCCCAAGCTGTGCTGTGCTGTGAGCCAAGACTTGCTGTGTGAGACAGACTGCTCTTAGCTTGTCAGACCTGGTGTGCAACCACAGCCCTAGCCCCTGAAACCCAGCACAAACCCCCAAACTTCAACAAACGCTCAGCAAAGCATGAGCAGCAAAGTTGTCTTCTAGAAAGCAAGCACTTTGAATACCTGCAAATTGTATTTTTTCCCCCCACTTTTTAGTTTAATAAAGCACAGTTCATTTAAAACACTTTATCTTACATAAATTAAAAACTTGATTTTAACTGCTCCTATGGTTCCTTTGCTCTAGGCATCCTATACAAACAGGGGGATTCTCAGCACTCAAACGCAGAGGGGCGCAGGGGCCTCACGCTGTGATCTCATATGTGCATTTTGAATGAATACCAAATAAAATTAACTGCAACGTGCACGTGTGAAGGCTTCCATCTTTGGGCATCTCCCCTCAATCTTCTCCCTTCACAGATCCTGCACCTCTGCTCTGCAGTGGTGATTAACATCCAGCATCTCACCCTTCCTACCACAGCAACCACCAGACCATGTCAGGCTACCAAAATCCTTCCATATTTACTGTTGCATATAGTACCTCTCCAGAGGTTAACCTTCCCAGAAGAGTTAACTTGCCCCTTAAGATCAATTTGGCAGAAAAAAAAATGTGGAAAAAAACAGCTACAACATTGGCTAATGATGTGATAAATGTGCAAGGAAAAAACAGTTTTAATATAAATTCCATTTAAGCATCCTGGCGGGGACAGAGAAGAGCATCAATGTCAAGGTGTTGCCTTCCCTCAAGGGGAGTTGCCCATTTCATGCTCCTTGTTGCCCGGTTCACGCTCCTTGCATGGAAGCAGGAAGCACAAGGGCAAGAAGCACCAGGAGCTCTCTGGGATGGGCAAAGCAGCTTGAGCATCTCCAAGGGTGAAGACTCCATCTCCTTGGACAACCCATTGCTGGGCTCTGCTGCCTTCCCACCACCGCTCCACAGACTTCCCGAGGGCAAGAGAGAAGCACCTGGAGTTTTCTCTAATCTTCTTCAGGAGCGCCAGTAAGCTCTGTTTCCTCCCAATTTCTCCAAGATGCAACTCCAAGAAGCATGGATGTAACCTTATGTACTAAAACTCATCTCCTAGAGAATTTTATGGCAGAGTAATAAAAGCTTGGAAATAGAGGGGGAAAAAAACCACTAAGGGAAGTGCAGCCGGACTATATAATTGAAGAGTTTTTAGCTAAGGCTAAAACTGAGAACCTGGGAGCTACTGCAAGGTGACAGCATTAGTGCTTTTTTTTTTTGCCCCCAAAAATTAATATTCTGAAGAAAGAAGACTTAGTGAATTTAAAGTGACTTCTCCTATTACAGAAACTGGCAAAAACTTACAACAGATCTTATACTTTAACATAAACATAATTTGTTCTAGTGCTGCTGGAAGATGTCTCTGC